TATTTACCGTGGAGAGAGTCAATTTTCTATGACCGCAACGTACGTCTATCATCAGATGAGTTGGCGGGTAGTATCACTGAGCATTCTAACGAACTCGGGCACTGTATACATGTATATGCTTCAGCGAAAAAAGCAGCGGTACTTGACGCGAAAACCGTCGTCTAATAACAGATTATTTAATATTAACAACTGAATCAGAGCTTTGACGACGACGGCTTACGCTCGAACGTCAACCTTTAAACTCTTTACGGTGGCCAATTTACGTTTTCAACGCAGCTGTTTACACTAAACTACCTGTTATTCTCTCCCACCGACGCAGCACCACAGTTTCTTTAGAAACTTTCCCCCTTTATTAATAGCAGATTAATCAAACAGCTTGTCTTAGCAAATTAATTTCATATGAAGACTCGTACGCTTCCAGGAGAATAAAAAATCCAACATCATTTTAATAATTAACGCTGTTTAGCATGAGTTACTGACAAAAATTATATTTTATGATATCTCAACAGATATTTCCAACTCGAGAAACTGGCTGGCTGTAAAATTGGTCGGCGGCGGTGATTATGCAACTAGGGTTTGGGGGATGCTGTTTTCTCAGCCTCCGTATATGTATTCAGCTGGATCTCTTCAATAAAATATTAGCTTCACTTTTAAGTAGAGTGTGTTTTCTATCGACTACGTGATGATTTGCCTGGGCTCTGGCGTTACAGCTGCAGACAGTACCCCTTCTGTAACTCAGGCAGGAAAAAGTCTCCCCGTAGATTAATCTTCATTAATTATCATGTACACCAGGAAAATCCTTACCTGTCTCCGTTTCAGTGTACCTGTGTAATAAACCACTTTCGTGTTACCAGGAATCCAACTACAGGTAAAAATGGATATAATAGTATGTAATGAGATAAGGAACTCTTCCGATAGCAACTGACGGATTTACATTTCATTCGGTACGAGTGGTACTGGAATGAAGAATCTTTGTTCTGCTCTGTGGATCCTTCATATCGCTTTTTTTCGCTTTTATCTTTTTTTAAAACTTGGGAATGGTTCTATGTCATAAAATAGTTGGGATGGTGACATTTAATTTTACTGTAATTGGTTGGGAGTGGAATAAATGAAACGAAACTTTCTATCGGAAACAGAGAATAAATTCCAATTATAAAGGGCGCTTTAATTTTAAACGATTCGAGTGAAAAAAAAAATTGTTTCAACGTAACTTCACGTGGAATTTGTCTCTTTGTTCATGAAAACTGCGCTATTCCAGACCAAGCTGCTGGATCCAACTAGCCCTTCGTCTATTGAAACCAATCTCTCGCCAATCTCTTGGCAGTGACTTGAGTCGAACAACGTCTTCCTTAGGAATGATAGAAGATAACCAAGTGGCCACCCTCAGAGATGTTAACGGTTGCTACCACTAAATATGCTATTCTAAAAAGTCTTTTGAATACAAGTTCTTATTTCTTGAGAATACGAAAAGAAATGAGGCTTCCAGGAGAATATTTTATTCCGGAGATGATTTTTTGATGATGCATTGCTGGAGTAACAATGTAGTCCCTCCTTTCATTCAGTAGGAATGAAACATTCTGTATGTAACATTACGGTTGGATTCATGTTTAAAGGAAATGGTTACTACGTTCCCAATACGGCAGCGCAAGGTTTGAACGTTAAGATTAGTCTACAGAGCTCTAGGGATCAAAGAGGAAGAAACTGGGAGACAACTGCTCGATATGCAACAGCTTGACTTGATCATGGTGTTAATTCATCAGACAAGGGTTATGAATATGCCACTCTTGTGAACAGACAAGCCAGCGTCGTTCGGATAAGAATTAATTAACTGAGGTGCCACTTACTGCATAATACGTGCAACAGACTGTTACGGTAAAATTTAATCGACAGATAGAACATTAATCCCTTATAAACTCAACTACTTTATCAAAAAAACATGCATCATTTTTCCATAAGGAGCGACTCCTAAAGGTAATACAGTAATTATCTTCAGTAACTGTTACTTAAGCCTACTGCAAACTATATCTTAGCTCACCACCGAGACAAACTCACAGTTCCTCCAAAGTTCCTTGAAATTAACAACCTTCCACCGTAGCTCTCTCCGACTCGGTATCAATCCCGACAACAACAACTACTACTATACTACACTACTACTGTACTACTACACGACCGAGTCCTTAAATACATTCGCAACTCTTTTCGTAGTATTAAATCATGACTACGTGACATAATAGAATGCTCCAGAAGGTTCCAGGGCATGTGCATCAGCATGACCAGGCTAGAAATTTCTAGGTATTTATTTTACAGTTTATAGGTATGTACCTCACAGTTAATACTCTGTTGTGAACACTTCCTTTCGGTACATGGGACCAGCTTATCACAGATCAGACCAATGTGTTTCTGGCACCTTTTAGCGCCTTTCTGTGAGCACCAAGATGAAATAGAGGAGCGTGATACGTGCTTTCTACTTGTGACATTGGTTCATTACTTTGAAGTAACAGTACCGGGTGAAGGAAGTCTAACCAAAATCATCAAAATCATTCATCACTCAAGAAAAGGTAAGAAACACGAGGCGTAGTCGAGTGTTTCTTCCTACACTTCTTTCGTGCTTTAACCGCTTACCTCGCGCTTTACAAAAGAAAAGAGCACAATCAAGGCTTCTCTATTTGTTCAAGAGTAAGGCTACACTATCATGAAATGTTTCGAAAGGGGGGGGGGGGGGAAGGAGTACCGCCATCTCTTAGTAGTTACATTGTGATTTATTGCTGTCGTAAGCGCAATGCATCTTGGTCTATTCTTAGTCTTTAGCCACTCGGCAAGCAAGTGATAACAAAGTGTATGAAGTGCTTCACAAAGACATCAAAGCCCACGTCAAGATTCTCAACAGCTTCAGGGCAGCCAGGCGAGACGCAATATGGATACATTTTCTTTCACACTAGGTACACTAGGTCCTGTTAGGCGCATTGCATAGGTAACCGAATCATTGACGATGTTGTTAAATGTTGTGAACAATTTTTTAAACGCAGTTTACCATCTCTGTCTAATAACTAAAAGATTAAGAGACCCCTGGTTGTGGAAGGCCAAGAATTTCTCCCAAATCGCCCCAATTGTTTCTAGCATGGGGTGTTCTCAGTTGCTTGCAATATTGAGGAAGGGAGACGTTAATAGATATCGTTCTCATCAGGTTCCTCAGTAAGTTTATCATTTACTAGTTAAATACGGTACAAGTACGAACAAGTCTACAATTGTTATTTTCATAATGCTGATTGAATCTCAAAAGGTTCTTTTTAAATTTGAATACATTTCTATTTCGCAACACTAACTTACTTCAAACTATGATGAAATTAAGAGATCCTCGCAGCTAAGAACACTACTGAAACGAGTAGTTGTAAATGGGACCAGAAAAAAATTCAGGCCCGTACGGGATTTGAACCCATGACCTCTGCGATACCGGTGCAGCGCTCTACCAATTGAGCTAACAAGCCAACTGGGAGCTGGTCAATGAATTGGGTCCAAATAAACATCCAAGTGAATGAAGATTTTAGATATATGAAAATTCATATATTTGCACTGCGGTGGAGAGATGAAATTAAGAGATCCTCGCAGCTAAGAACACTACTGAAACGAGTAGTTGTAAATAGAACCTGAAAAAAATTCAGGCTCGTACGGGATTTGAACCCATGACCTCTGCGATACCGGTGCAGAGGTCATGAAAACTTCATTATTTTCAGGTGCCCAGCGTTATCACAGTACAAGAGGTGGATATAGCACCAACTTATACATTGCTATCTCAACTCCAGATCTGAACTTCAACAGTGACGGTGCATTAACTATCGGCAGCCGAGTGAATGACGACGAAAGGTTCTATGCTGTTAGACAGCCAGTAAAAGCAGAGGTATTATGCCTTACCTTTATGCCTTTATGCCTTTCATAAAGATGTAAATCCATCAAAAATGCTCGAAATACTATTCCAACACTCACAATAAAGTAATCGTAAATATAGTTCATGGAAAAACCCTGTTTTGTTATAAGTTCCTAATATTCATTGCATCACTGAAAACTTTTGTCAGAGAGTCAAGGTCTTGAGACAATAATGAATAACAAGTTGACACCCTCACGATCGTCACTGGTGGCAGGAGGAAGTCCTGAAGGTTAACTGGTGATATTTTCTCCCAAAAAGGTTTTCTCAAGAAGGGTTTTTCTCCCAAAGCCTTTAATTACCCTAGGACACGTTTTGATAACTATTACTCATTTGTACAACCTAGAGCTCATGAGGTAAGATGGCTGGATTCAATGTTTTATATGCTTTCCTGTGACCTCTTGAATCATACTTACAATATACTTTAGTATAATTTCAAGGAATCATGATCAAACTGAAAATCGTTCGTAAAATTGTTTAAAAGCTAGCTGAAAACTGAAGTCCATATAGTAAAAGTGCTACGTATTATTTTAGGTGTTTTCAAAAAACCAGTTAATGTTGCTGTTGGAGACGTGAGGGAAAATGGGATCATGGTCGACGATTCACAGAAGTCGACATGTGTGACAGCGACGCCACAGGCAGGAAGTAAAGGAAAACGCGTCAGGTTCTTACTACTGCTGAAGTATTGTTCATCTTTCATATTCACGTCTTTATCTGCAGTTCAAATACATGACTTTCATATATTCACAACCGTTTATTCACCACTTCACGGGTTTATTTGGAACCAACACAGTGACCAGCTCCCAGTTGGCTTGTTAGCTCAGTTGGTAGAGCACTGCACCGGTATCGCAGAGGTCATGGGTTCAAATCCCGTTCAGGCCTGAATTTTTTTAAGGCCTTCTTTTCACTACTGCTTAAGTAGTGTTCATAACTACGAAGATGGCTTTCATATTCACAGCTTGATACGGTAAACGTAACTTGAAATGAGACAAGAAATGTACATCAAGGTAATAGATACTGTCATTGATGTGTAATAGGAATGTACATGCAACACATAACAAATTTAACTCCAAGAGTATTGTGATTTAATGTTCTGCTATACATTAATGATTTTCATCACTGTTTAACGAAATTAGACTGCCACCTTTTTCCGATGATGCAAATGTCTTTTATTCTGGAAAGAGTCTGACCGTATTAGATTTTGTGATAAATGCTTAACTCCTTAATGTTGAAACTTGGCTCTCTGCTTGTAACTGAGCTTTCTCTAAAGATTATCAAGTCTATTTTCGTCATCTTCCCCATCCAAAGACGAAAAAATATAAACCTAGATTATCCATAAATGGAAAAATCTTAAATGAAGAAACTTTATTCGATATCTTGGAGTAATTCTTGACGCTCATCTTTGTTGAAAAATGAGATTTTGCTAATAGCAATGCGCTCGTAAATCTACATTACGCTCTAATTCATCTTTTTCCATTTTTTTTCCTTCATAGCGTGGGGTAATTCCTAGGTGTCGAATCTCAATCCCGTATTTTTTCATCAAAATCATGTTATTCGTTTTATCACTTTCTCCTCATTCCTAGAACGTACTGGCCTTATCTTTAAGTCCTTAAAAATCCTGAAATTTTTAATGTTTCCAATTTATTCAATAGCTATTTTTACGGGTATAGCAGTTGTGCATCTTCTTAGCCGACTGACTTCTGCTTCCTCTAAAACCGCGAGCATTAGGTAGAGAGAATTAAAATCTTGGATTCTCTCCTTTGTCAGGATATTATGAACTTCAGGGAGAGCACAGTCTTGTCAGATTGTCATCAAAGATAAGGCTTTTGTATAAAGTGAAGTAGTAACGTATTAAATCAAAACTTAGTTAAGAACACTCCCATATCTTGACTTCCATCCAATTGCCTCCAAGACTCTTAGGGCCGCAGGATTGTGATAGCAGAGCGAATGGCTTGTATCACAACAGATATCTGCTTTTGAACTCTCTGCCAGTCTTTCTTCTTTCCTTGTTCATTCGCAATATAAAATGAGTCCATAATACCAGGGAACTTAGTATATGCTTCGGACTTAAAATAAGTTGGAGAAAACACCACGTGTCTGTAAGGAAAGAAAAAGACTGACCGATAAGATTTGAAATAAAAATGGCTTACCTTGCCTTAGTGTTATTTCTTCAATTGTTTATTTGCTTTTGAATCCATTTCAAAGCCACAATTTACAATCTGTTATCTATCGCTGAACAGACGCGCGGCAACATGAATTTTTTTCTTAAATAGTTTTCGAGAAGTATTGGGAAATTAAAAATCATTTAAAGGTTCAGAGCATTACCTGAATACCACAAGGGTTTCTAATAAAGACGGAAACAAATTGTTTGTTCCAGTAGAGCTATCAGCAAAATGCGAGCAACCCATATTCTACAGATCGTATGGGGCTTGCTTTTCTTTTGGTTATGTTGTGTTTCAAATTTGCTTTAGCAACACCTTTTGTATTCATTTTTCCGGTGAGGAGTTAAGAGGAGTATGTACAACCATGACGACGACCGCGGTGAAAACATGCTTGTCGATTGGCTCGTAAAATTACCGGCCTTGAGATGATTTTTTATTTGTAGTATAACTCGAACTCTAAAACTTATTAGAACGGCTTTGAAATGACTTCAGAAGTGGACAATCAAAAACGATATAAAAGAAATGCAACGCGAGTAAGCTACATTTAAAAATTCAAACATACGAATTTTGAGTCTTACTCTGTTGATCCCCAGACCTTCTCTCATAAAGTGCTATTTTAACACGGCTGTCACTGACTTTAGGCTGCCTGAGGTTAAAGTGCTGGTACTGCTCTTTTCTTGTGATGTCAAGAATTCTCTTGAACACAGTGTATATTCTTAGTGGTCTTACTCCGTCTCAATTACTTTTATATTTCAATTCTCTCTTTAAGTTTTATTTATTGAGGGAAAGATGTCTTAAAACATTAATAAAAAAAAACTCCATTAATAAAAAATGGCCAGGTTCCAAGCACGACATCTTCTCAACTTATGCAAATATGTGCGTGATTTAAGTGAAGTGGACTTTGAAAATGATATGAAAAATTGGTCACTTTACATGTGCCCAGACGCTATCGACTTCTTTGCTATTATCTCAAATCGCTCTATTTCAATAACCAATATCAAGTTATTGTGGTACAATGGGAAGAAGGATCTTCCGCCCACCTAAAGAAAGGCCTATATGAAAGCCCCTTGTTGTTAATGAAGGCTCTGTTAAGCTGTTGTAAGCGATCGTTGATTATTCGAACCTGCAATGCACTAACATGGAAAAGAGACAAAATCATAAAGGTGTCGAGGACGTTATTCGGTTGAACATTGAAAAAAACATTTTTACAATAGAAATAGAGGAACCTCCCACCATTTTACAGACCTCTGCTCAGTGATTGTTGCATGATTTGCGAAACATTTTCTGCCCGCTTGTAAAGAGTTGAATATTCTCAGAGGACTGCACTGGTTTACAAACTGTTGTTTTTGTTGTCTCTTAGATCACGATAGAGTCTCTGTGCCTCAGTGGTAGACCTTTAGCGCAGAATTCAAAGTTTTAGGGTTTGATTCCTTATGTAAAATCAATTTATTTCTTTTCCTACACTTATGACGAGAAGAAAAAAAAAATTCAAGTTACTGTCGTTGTTGTTGTTTGTGCTGTTTTTACACACTTGTAGCAGCCTATACTCACTCTTCATTGTCTTGGGTTTTCAAATTTCTTTGAAACTCATTTGCAACTGCTTGTAACTCTTGGGTGGCGTTTATCAAAAACTCTGTTGGATACCAATAATTGAGAAAATCAGTGCATGAAAAAAGATCACTTTGTGTCCACTTGTACAAGTTAAGATCGAGAAAAAGATCCATTATTTTTGCACATAACCTTAAACAATAAACCATTTCCGTTGAAATTACTTAGTTTAGCTGGTTAATTCAACACACCTAAGGTAATATTATTTGTCCTCAGTGAGCTGCTGTATTTGACCGATAGATCATTTACAAGGCGACAAATGGCCTCAGCTTGACGAACCACATTAAAAGGTGTGAATACCGAGCCTGCGATATCAAAGCCCATTTGTAGCCAAAGCTGCGCAAATGTCAGGTAGTATTTGATGGTTTCCGATGAGTGGCGGCGTGGTATATGAGCTGGATAATTTCCAGACGTCTAATCAAATAGAGAAAAAACTAAGTAAAAAGTTTGTATTTTTTTTTGTTAAATTGAATTGCAAACAACATTGATAATGATAATAATGGTAATAGCAACGATAATGAAATGTTTCTGTGTTTGAAGTGTTGGGTGCCTCTTCAAATTTGGAATAAATCGTTGGCATTTGAAGCTTAAGTCGTTTAAACATCATTTTAATGTAATAAATTTTTCTTGGACTAAACCAAACTAGGAATTTTTATGGTCAAGTAAAGTAAAGACTTTGGGGATTTATGATATAGCTCTGCCCAAACTTAAATAACAGAACGAAGGGAAAAGAAGAGTCTTGAGATCAGGATTATCTTCAAGCTATTCATCTTACTTGATCAGGTTGAAAGGCCGCTATATCCACACATGGCACACCAATCCTGTACTCAAAAGCAAAGCACCCTCTTCCTGCTCTATCAAACAACGAGAGGCTGGAGTGGAAATAATAAAATTATTCCAGGGTTAAATTTCAAGAAAAACAAGGATTTTGAAATGAATATGTGGTTCTCAGTGAAACCTTCAAAGAAATGTTTCTAAAGGGCATGTAAACCCAAAAAACGTTCATTTTCTTTTGACATAGATGTTTAGTAAATATATCAAGTACACCAAAGGTGCCATTCGTTTTTTCTTAAAAAAATCCATTTTCCAAATTCGAAACATTCGCCATTTTGAATGGCGCCATCTTTCCTGTGACGTCACGGGTGGAACCTCCAAAGTTACGTTTAATAATCGCGTGAGACACGGAGTCTTTTCCACAGCCGTTGTTTGCCGGTCTCGTCATGATTTTTTTACTTACAGTTTGCTTCAATATACTCAGTTTTTTCATGATGGTAAAGCGTTGTGTCGTCCAGTTTTGTACTGATTCAAACAAAACTGGGCATACAACGCAAATATTTCCAAATGACACAAATTTGAAGCCACAATTTGTGAAACTTGTTCAAATGAAAATAGCCGATTTCGTCGAGCCGTTCGAACATTCTGTTGTTTATAGCAGTCATTTTTCTTCCTGGTGTTGTACCGACAATTCAGGCCCTACCAGAAGCAAATTATTCGGAACTAAAAACAACTAGCTGTAGTACTGTATTATTAAATCAATGACAGAAACAACTCAAGCAAATCGATCTCAAAATGTAACAAAACAGATGAAACGGAAAACATTTAGCTTACTCGTTTCCGGTGTGATTCTCTGTGCCTTACTGCTGCCTGTACGCGTAATAGGCCGTCTCAAGCACCCAGAAATCGAGGCAAATTGACTAAAAACCTGGATACTCAGTGATACAACTTATCTGGGTTTCAGACCCTCGCTCTTCTACTTTTTGCCACAATTGCCCGATTTCTGTACAACAAACACTTTCCCGAGTTGTCGGCATTGGTCGATAAGTTCCACACTCGCACCTTTGACAATTTTATATAAAACACCCTCGGAAGCTCAGCGGGTTTAAAAAATTTCTGTTGCATTCTTTTAGATTGTGCCCTTGCTTTATTGGATTTTCATATCAAATACAAATAAATCACACAGTAAATTAGATACCAGTCTGAGTTTCCGAGGAGGTCGCATCGCTGTCAACATGTTCTGCACTGTGTTCGTGCGGATCGCTTCGGTGAACCCTACGCAGCTCATATTGTTAAGGACGTGGCCCAGACTCTCCTAAAGATTCTAGATCATCCCCATCGCCTTCATATACTAAGCTTAGGGCATTCGAGTCGCCATCTTCTGAAAAGCATCTTCGAACTACCGCTACTTACACGAGCTACCACACCAGTTCTACTAGGGAATATGTGTTGCGCAATATTTTAGTTCCTCCGCTTACGTAACGACTCTCGCTATTGTTTTTACCGGAAATGGAATTTCAGTTGAAAATGCCGATTTTCTCCTAAAATAAGTCGAATTGGACAAAACGAATTTCAGATTCGTTTTCTACGCCACTTTTTACATAGTATGAGAAAAACATGTATTTTTGGGTTTACATGCCCTTTAAGGCACCTGCACTCAATATTTAACATGAGTTCACCGTGTTATAGTTTTACTAACAAACAATAAAGGACAGCGAGGACGTTGATTTCTACAACAACCATATAGAATTATGTTGTCGTGTGATCGAATATCCATTTGCAAACATGTCCACATTTAACACTGCATGATAAATTTTCTTTCAACCCACACACCAAACTTTGTGGAATACCAATGCATGATGAGGTTTCCTTGAACTTGTATCTGATGTTGAAACATACTTGCTTTGATTTCCAGCTTGCTGAGAATCTTTCTCCTTCCACATTGAATACAACGTCTTTGATATGTTCTGTGGGGCAGTGACCTGCGATCGATACAAATGTTAAGTTAAAAATTTGTGTTAGCGATGAGATAATTTCATATGCGAAAACAAACAGCTTTTCTGTTGTCATTGTTTTAATCATGCTCAATCTTGTTCAAAAGCTGAAAAGTGAACACCAACTTATTCTTAGAATAAATCCACTTTTTTTTCAATGGCTATGGCTGATTTCATAGCAGGTGTTAAGCTTTTTGACACAGACCCTCGGGGAGCTATTTTCGGACAGTACAAGCAATTATTTGAATGCATCCATAACAAGTAGTGTTTGATGCATATCAAAAGTAAGTTGTTTATTTTGTAGCTGACATGAGGTTCATGCATCAATGACTAAACACTTATTCACATAAAAAGCAGATATAAAACCTTTTTTGCTGTCTGAAGGGCTCTTTGTTCCAACAACGGACTTAATGTCATCACTATTTCACCTATAACAAAACATACACCATTTTTTCAAATGTGTCTCAGAATTGGAAGGATTTTTATACCCCTCGAAGATTCAGAGATCTTCCAATTGGCGGCCGAATACTGTACCACTGGTCACTATCAAGTGACTGTCTGGGTTATGGTAAGTAAATCATGAAAGGTAGAGAGAGGGTTTGTTTGAAAATTTTATGGAAAACAATATTCGTCTTGTAATTGACGTGAAAGCTTGGAAAAACAACCCAAAATTTCCGATGGAGGATGTTTAACAACTAATAAACAATAAGAAAACAAAACGCAAAAAATTAATACGCAATAACTGTCTTACATCTGATACGTGTGAAGGGTCTATATAGTAGGCTGAAGAGTTAGGTATGAAGTATTTCGAAGATAAGGCTGATTCATGCAAAACATTTTGGTTAGTTTTACTGCTCTGTTTTGGGTATAAGACTTAAATATCGTTCTTCAATGCTCATTTGTTATTGGTCAGACGATTTACCTTCTCCAGCCCTATCTACATTGATGTAGGCTACCGCACGTGCATCGAGGATTTTCTGATACTCCTTTGGTAGATGTGAAGGACAACTGATTAAAATGTACACTTCATTCATGTAACAATACGACTCACGTAAACTAAAGAATGTTCTAATAGAATTGTATCATTTGATTATCTGTGTCAATAACAGAACGAGGATTGCAAGAACTCAACATTAGGTATCTCATCGCAATCTGATCGGTAAGTTCTCGTTAGATTTCTCGTTATTTACAACTCATACCCTTCTTATCGTCGGTAGAAAAATCCTAAAAGAATTAATCGTAAAATGTTCTCTGAAGTCGCTTTTGTTGCATTCAATGCCCTTCTCAACGTCAGCAATCATTATAATGCATTACGGATGATATTTGCTATTTTCAATTCAAATGCATCTCAAACTGATTTTGCGGCCTATTGAGGTCGTTCTGATAACTCGAGATGTCAATTCTCCTTTAAAAAGTACATTAAAAATAATACATACTTGATTCTTCCTTTGAATGCTTCTCTGAACCCTACCGGAGCTAAATAAATGTCAATTAGGAAGTACCATACCTCGATCCATTGTATAGATCCTATGTTTCCGTATTCACCTGCTCCCCAGCTGCAAATTTTCATGCTTCGCCGGGAAAACCAACCTGAATGAAATTGTCGAGTCAACTCAACTTAAGTTCGACATAATACTTCACCTACAAGGTAATAAAGCTCACCAGCAGCCATACAAATGCACTATACGGTGAAGAAAATTCTTTATTTACCGTGTACTAGTCGATCTAACTGATGGAGATCGTCTCCACCTAATTAAAATTTTCATGACACAAAAGACTTAATCAGACATGTTGACGAAAAGAATAGTACTGAAGTACCTTTCTTTCGAACAGAAAGAAGGATCCTTGTGATCTCCATGAGAATCGCTGTGCCGCTTGATGGACGGTGGCTACCGAGTAGTACATAACGATCTGCAATAACATTTTTTTCTATGTGCACATTTAAATTCAATTGCTGACTTTTAGTTTCAAATCTATTTTCTTAACTAATAACAGTGGATTTATGTCTTAAAAGAAAAATCGACTTCCAATAACTCGAACCGTGAAGGAATATAACTTAACTTCAAATTGGCGGAATTTCGTCATATCCAAGTGAGACTCCAAGGGAACAGGTATCATTCACTTGAAGGGGATCAATAAGTATAATCTAATTTCGAATGATTCTATGCGTGATACACTTTTACTCCGGCAGTGTTTGTAAAGTTGGCTTTTGAAACCTTCAAGCTGGATGTTTATCGGAAAACAAAACAAAAAAACAAAACAAAACAAAAACAAACAAACCAAAAAACAAAACAGGCCCACATTGTTAACATCCAGGGAAAAAAAACCGAAGAACCACACTTTGGCTTTACTGTTATTATTTTCAAATGCTGTGTGATGGTCAACAATCATATCCAGAGAACTGCTTCCCTTACCTGGTTCTATTTTCCCTTTGATGGTTCCAACTGTATCACAAACGTATTTTTCAACGAGGGAAAGACTCACGTTCAAAGTGACCGTTCTGTTTTGGAGAAATTAAAGCATAGCCTCATATCATCTTGTTAAATTCAGTCTTTTAGAAGTACATTATCAATTTTCTTGTGGCTTAACATTCCAAGGTAAACGCTTGATAACTCTAAGAGGTTCTCTCTAAAGATATGACTATTACACAGCTTCCATGGTATCACTATTTACAGTTGCAACTCGGCCTAGGCCCACGATCTCAATCCCCTCAGTGCGCTTACGTTATAGCTGATTTCACTTCATGATTTGTTGGATTCTTAACTCGTAAAATTTGTTCAGATCTTCATATATTTTCGCAAACTTTGAAAATATGGCTTTAATAGTGAGCAAGACAGCAATGAAACACAGGAGTGAACTTTCTCGCTTTAGGACATACCTTGTGTCATTTGGCTTCATCTGTATTCTGTAGTCAAAGTTTAGTCCACCCTGCCAGTCCTGGGGGGGGGTTGTATGGTTAAGCATCCTATTAAATTGATTAAAATGGGACAATCTTCAATTGACGAATGGCAGGAAGATAAACAATTTCCTTTCTTTTAGTTGTGATCCCCTTTAAGGTGCTTGTATCTTAACAATTTTTTTGCTAAAAGCTTCAGGTCCATCGCAGTTCGCCTTTTTTCCCATCTCAATCCTTCTCTTCAGTATTTAGTCTGGTTCCCTTATTAACTCATTTATCCTCGTTTTACTCTTGTGTGAGAAGGGAAAATGTGAGAAACCTCCAGAGACCTTCAGTTTACCTTAATAAAATTTCCGCTTCTCTTTGGTGAATTGGCTGCGCAGGGATCTTGGGGAATGGAATATCATCTATTGTCTCTCTGTAAATTCCAGCTTTATGTAAAAAAAATAATAAGCAAATAAACGTTCAAGGTTCGATGAGTTCCGATGAAAACCGGGTGCGATAAAACTATTGTACTTTGCAGAGTGACAATATTTATTGTACTCATCTACGTGTAAATTGAGCCTAAACCAAACACAATAAGCTTGATGACTGACCTGTGGCTGGGTAACCAGGCGTTACTGGGTCTCCTCTGTTGACCCATAGGCCCATACTCGGTCCCTCATTACTTGGGTACCATAGAAGTGTTGTGTTACCAGAATAGTCAGAAGGATCAACATATAACAAGACTCCGGCTGCCGACCATTTTTGTGCATTGGTAACCTGCTCATCAAGTAGGAAAAGGATTGATCATTATAATTTCAGTGGTTCTTTCACCGTTTCCTTATTTCTTTCTCTTTTTTAATATTTTTGAAGCCTTTATAAGTATCTTGGGTAATGGAAGGGCGAGTAAAAATCACTTTGACAGAGCAAAATTACCCACTGAATTGGAAAACACCGTGTAGAACGTTTAAATGAATTAATTACTTTTAAAATAAAGTTCTAAACATGATGCTAAAAAACCGCATTATCTGGTTTAAGGCTTGATTCCACTCATCTTCATTTCTACCTTAGAATAGAAGTTCTGTTAAAAGTCCGTTATCTTTCCAAACTCAAAGTTGATGTGCACTTTTAAGGCACATTCAAATCAAAGATTGATTTTGCCTCCCTTACTTTTTTATACTTCCACTATATATTATAAATAGTATCTGCTGTGGTCCAAAACATTTGCTTTAGGAAACCTATGATTTAGACTTCCTCCATTAAATCAGCTAACGGCGAAACGATTTTTCAGTATCAAATTGAGAAGCAGTGTTGTACATGAAGCTTAAACTCTCGTCTCGCATTTTATACTTAACAACATAACGCAGCAATAACGTTATTTTTTTTAACCTATAACGCCAATATTCAAGAGTCGACCCTATATTTGACCTACCTCTCACAGTAAAGTGACTGATCGCCGCGAAAGTACTCTCTGAACTTTCCCATTCTCTAACACATAACATTGACTTCTAAATAATACATAAAATAAATGAAAACTCAACGGACACCTTATCGGCCTCAGATATTCTTCCATATCGTAGCATCACAATTTTTCCCTTACACGATATGTTTGTATAGTCCAAGTAGTTGAAGTCACTCTCTCTTCCATAGTTGACATACACCAGTTTACCAGACACTGCACCAGAAGCTGAATTGGTGCTAAAAGGAATAGCGTGCTTTGGACCATTATCTTTGTTAGTTGAATCTTCTTTCAGAATTGAAGAATAAACTTCGGTTCCGTTCTGAGTATTCACTGACAGCACGCTAGGCCTCTCGGGATACAACAGTAGAACGTCATAACGCTTCAACTGCACAGCATCGAAGCCGAATGAATTCCATTCGTTTTTGATGAACAGCGCTTGCGCACAACTGTCGTTTGTCCCATCAAGATGTGCATTATTTGCGAAATACCTAGAAAGAGGGATGCTAAACCATTATTATTGGTTCACAATGTTAAATATTTTCCTTCATCTTTTTTTGTATATTATTTGTGTAATCTAAAGAACCCTTGCTCTAACAACTGAATTGACTCAAATATTGTAAGTACATAAAATAGGAAAGTGAGTAAGGTTCTACTAGGTTTTTTTCTCGTTTGAAATTTCTTTACAACCCGATTTGGACAGGATAGGAAAGGAAATAATCACATTGCAGTTGAAAATAAGACCACTGATAACGTGAGAGAACGGGAACCCCAAATTAAAATTAAGTACGTTTCTATTTAGAACCAAAAAAAAAAACGTTATGTCTAGGTTGAGGTCTGGCTCTCTTAAGGACGGCATAGAATTCCAGCCATAGTAGAAATTGGAAGAAAAGTATAAATTCGTTTTTTTAATCGACATTTCCCTCGGCGTTGCCGTCCTGACTGCTGAAGATCCATCTTGGAAACTCATGCATGATGTAATTGTATTTCCATGTTGAGAGATATAAAGAGATAAAAGCATGGCATACTTGAGAAATGAACTGAAAGAAGTATTAATATTTAGTGCTTCTTTAAAAGGAATATACTTGAGATACTTGCGAGCCATTTTACGCGGCCTTTGGAAAATGATAAGTTAGAATTATCTATTTTGCTTGTCTCATGAAAATTCAATTTAGCAAGCATCAGAGTAAACTAGTGAATTTGAATTCTGATCATTCAACACGGATCTGGAAATTCCGCGTTATTCTTCAAAGTCACTGAAAACCAAATTCCACTCAGCCACGCAACATTTCAAATATTTGATTTTCAGCTCAGTATAAATTAGCCTGGTAAATTTTTATTTTTCTTCTTGATTGGCTGTCCACTTGTCAAGTTAACCATGTCAAAATTAACCTTTAGTTTCATCCTTCTCTTCAATTTGCTGAAAGCCTAAGATGACGATCCAAATGAATTCACCTATTTTTAGTATTCATCTTGGTCCTACATTACAGGAGCCTTTAAAATTGATTGAAAAGATTCAATCTCATGCACTGGTGGCTCGTATATCTTCTCTATCTTTCAAGCTAGTAGGCTTAATTGTAACGAAAACCAATGTACATGACGACTTGTACAGTTTTTGGAGAGATTTTGTTACTAACACAGCATTTAAACAATAGAATGTCTTCACTGCTAAAAATTATTGATTCCTCAGCTGGCATTGAAATGTGCTCTAATTTTGCTCTGTTGGGCACAAAAATTTAAACGTGGAGATTATCTTTTCAATTAGTGATCATCTGATAGTTGCGTTTAATAAATGTCGGTTGAAGAGGGACTAAGCTCATAATTATAGAAACCTCCTTGTAACATCATGGAAAGAACTAAAAAGAAAGTTGATGAGCGTCTTAATATTTGATGTATTCAATGTTAGATCCAGAAGATTTGAAAACTTGAATGTTTAGCTCTCACAAGGACTCGTTATTCACAAAACGTCTGTGCTAATTATCATTTTTTGGCAGCATTATCAGGATTGATGCTCGTGTTTAAATTGCTTAAACGTAAATAAAGTGGTGCATAAGTTCATGCCTCTACGTATTATGGTTATGTAAAATGGTACTCACTTTAGATAATAGGCGATCTTCCGTCCTGAAATTAGTTCGAAAGCTTCTTGCTCAAGTAATTTTCTTGATGTGTCATCATTTTCATTTTTGGCGCCACAGCAGTTTGAGTACTCAGCACCCGGGCAGGAAAAATAACCGGTGATAAACCCGACGATGAAGATAAAAAAAATGAATGAAAAGAAACCTAACACAAACTTCTTTTGCACTGACATTCCCGTTAGAATCCTGGTGGAAAACCACCGATTTTCACGCGGCTAGCTACTTGCCTCTCATTACAGTGTGTTCACGTTTATATGGAAATTTTGTTTGAAGTAAGTCCTGTGTCAACATGATCGTTAGACATCTGTAAACACACTGACTGACAATCAATTTTCCAGCTGTTGCTTAGTTCTTGAATTCTACCGGTGGATTTAAAGGTGCCTAATTATTTAGTCCCCCTCAGTTTGCGAAAACAGCCTTCTCTTGAAAATGTTAACCAATGTGGGAAGGCTTTCAAAACTAGGCTTCCAGGAATGCGTTATTTCGATCAACTCGTATGGTTTACCAATTAGAATTATCGCTGAATAATCTTATAATTACAGGGGCATGAATCGATCGAGAGAAAAAAGCCGCACGGCCCAACGCTAATTAGAAGGATAGTGGATACAAGACACGCAACAAAAGATTTGTACTTGTGGGTGAACTGGAGAAGCTTTGAATCTTTGCTGCTGTCTGTCTGGTGATGTGGGAAGGTAAGATAAGAAAACTCTTTGAAAACAAACATTAGTGTACATAAGCTTCTTGCAAAGAAGAGTTTGTTATAAAGGAAGTTCGGAACAATTGGACATTAAGAATTTATATGAAGGATTCTTATCATCTTGAAATATGTAAATCTCTCGTGATCAAAATCAGAAATGTCAAGGGCAATGATGACAGGAAATTTGCCTGTTTTTGCATTTGCTATATACTTATAGCAATTTTCTTTAGTATCGACAGTGAAATATTCCGTCTGGCGTCAGACAGCCAGTCGACCAGGATTATGGTGAATGACGCGTATCATTAACTAACATTAGAATTCAGCGTTACCATCAGGATCTGACACTAAGTCAACACTGTTTTAGTCTTTATAAAGACGCGTTTCCCTGTCGAAAAACGTCTAAATGAAAAAAGAGATAAATATATTAATGAATAATGAGAACGAAAACATTCCAAGTACAGAAACCCTAAGAATTCAGTACTCAGCTTGGGAAATAATGCCATTTGCAGAGGGAAGAGAAATTACAAGGAGCACTGTGACAGTCTTTCAGCTGCTTCCAACACGTATATTCGGAGGAGTGCCTCTTTTTAGATGCAGGTGTTTTAGACCCACTCGGACACAAGCGAATTTTCTCTCACTTTTCTATGTACCACGGTATACGTTACCGCAGAACTTGATTGGACGTCAGTTTTGATCAATTTTGATGAGATGTGTGTTTGTCTGTCTGCAGTTGATGTTAGGGGCGGAGAAGTCAAACAAACCAAAGGCCAATAATTGGCTTTTGTGGCTGTTTGCATCTCGATTGGCTAAAACAAAGAAACCCCACCCACAACCGTCGCAGCTTAAATTTTCAGTCAGGTGTCCCTTCGACACAATAAATGGAGGCCATCATGTCTAGGTTGTTTTAAAGTTTTATTGTTCAGATTAAAAACAAACTGTACTTCGCTGGTCTTTTTAAAGTGATATTTCCCGGTTGACTAATCTCAAAACTTTGTCACGAAAACATTGTGCAATATTCCGTGATTGATGTAGGAATTATCGTTTGACAGTCAATTGTAATAGTACTCTATTTTTCGAGTTTAAAGCAGAATATAATGTAACAGCTATAACTTGAAAATGGGAAATGTAAAAATATCAAATTGAGGGTATTAAGCTAAGATCATTTAAGACTATTATGTTCAAATTGCGTATACTGAGCACCCTCTGGGCAGGTTTGTAAAGATGATCATATTACCGATCATGGCGTAAGTGCTACAGTCACGAAGAAATACAGTTCCGAAGCTATCCTTATCAATGATTTAGTAATTCGGTCTGATTTCGCTTTGTCTTGTTTTTGCATCCTTCAAGTAATGCTTTTTCCTCTTAACTTAGAATGTCTTTATAAAGAGACTATTCGAACTCATGTAGTGGAGTTTCTCTCGTCTTGATTTCTTTCTTAATGTACATTTAAAGGTGAAATGTTACGAGAGTGTTTTGGGTTGTAAAAAGCAATATTCTTTAATATATCAGATCCTACTATTTTATATCTTAGGTGACTCAACCCGACTTCATTGTTGTATTGTTACGAAGAGGTACTAATTTTTCATGATTAGATTCCAAGTGAGCTTTAAAAGCGTGGGTACATATAGTAATTACAATATACAGTGGATTCACATTTGTGACTAATTTACAACTTGTGGTTTATTTCTCTCTACAATGGCCTACAATTACTTCTTGAAATTTTCAGATTTTAGGGTTGGCTCATAACTCCTTTCACTTTGTTCGCATGAAATGAAATTGACCGTAATTTAATCGAAAATGTGAGTACGGTGTGAGCAGAGCTTCAAACGCAAAACTGACATTTTACACACCCATTAGTACAATCTGAGATAAAATTGAAGAAAAATACATATTAGAAGCAAGGAAAGATGTACAGCAAAAGAGGGCTGATAAATGTGTATTTGGGTCCTTGTAATTGAGGACGTTTTAGTCAGTTTTACAGTGGCTTTGGTAAATAGGCCTTCTCTGGGACCTTAAGTCGCCGTAACTTTAGGTGACTTTGGGCGATTTAAGGCGACTTTAGCAAAATTGGCAGAAAAAATATTGCGACTTTAGGCGACTTAAGGCGACTTAAACCGATTTTATTTGACTGAAGCGATAAAACCAAAGTTAGCAACTGTCTCTCCACAAACTTTAAAAATGTCTACAAAATCCCTTGCAATAAACACAACAGTCATTTCGGTTACTTTGGTATGCTCGTAAGTCACCATAGTCTAAAACATCCAGATTTCAAATCAGTTTGGCTAAAAATGTTCAGGCAGAATAACCACAACAATCATTGTAAAATTATACAGTCAAAGCTGGTGAATAAATAGCCAGGAAACCAATTTAGCTGAAAATGTTTAGACAGAATTACCGCAAGAGGTGTTGTAAAATTATACAGTCAAAGCTAGTAAATAAATAGCCAGGAAAACATCATGGGTTATATGCCCAACATCAAGCAAACCTATCATAAATAAACACATAGTGCCATAAATTTTTGATTTAAGAAAAGAGACACAAATTTGATGAAACTAACCATAAATTTTCCACATAATTAATTAAAAATAACATGATTATTTACGTGTATTAATTATTTCACAAAACTCCACAAATTATATAAATTATTATCTTGGTAAACTTTTCTCCCATACTTTTGGCACTTGCACTGTCAATTTTGGCATGAAAGTTTGGCAAGTCGCATGCCTTTCCGACAGCGTCCAAAATTGTACGACCCAACCAATTTGTTATTCTCCTGCCTCAGTTAGACAAAACACCCCAATACCATACTGAGAACCAAATGCTAAGGTCCTTCGTAAAACTACTTCTCTTCCAGTCTCTCCAACTACTTTTCTAGCTGCAGAAAACTATGATTGGAGTGGAGTGGATAGGGTCAATTGGGAAGGGTAGAACCCTTATGACATTGCGTAACCAATAGCAACCTAAGGAAAATTAAGGCGACTTAAGGTGACTTTAGGCGACTTAAGGCGACTTAAGGTCTCAGAGTAGGCCTGTAAATGTTGATTCTAATGTTTTAGAATTAATAACAAACGCTTCACAGAAAATTTGGAATCCAAGGTTAGCAGTAAATGTCCTCAATATGAGCAAATGAAAACAGATAGACATGACTAGGGACTAACATCATTCATACAGACTTGTTCTCGTCGTAGTTAGATTGTAATTTTCCCACTTCGAGGTGTTGGTATATGTTTCAAAGCCATTTGATATAAATAACGCTGCGCTGGCTGATTTAAGCGAGAAAGTGTAATCCATCAAAAGATGATTACTCATCTGCAATGACTAAAACGATCATTCTATGGCAAAAATAATGCATACTAATATAATTACAGAGCACATGTGTTACAAAATGGGAAACATCTCTTCTCTCTGAATAGAATAAGAATGATGATCTCTATCTTAATACCCTAATTGCGGCACTGTGCGTTCCAAACTTCATGATGTGAAACACTTTTCATACTTGAAAAATCTACGCTACCTATGGTACAATCTGCACATAAACCAATCATAACTAGATCTCCTCTATTAACTGGAGACTAGCACAGTTGTAGCCTTTTTCGCTTCACAGACTGAGAGCCAAATATCCTAAAATGATTAATATTTTTTACATGTATGACTGGGTAACCCTTTAAACCATTAGTATAAAGCATTCAAACAAAGACGAACAAAATGTTTATGAAAGCATAAAATTCCAAAACTTGAATTTTCTCAAACTAATTCTTAACTTTGCACAATTAATTACAGCTGGCAGTAAGATTTTTTTGAAGTAAGCAGTACATCAAGAAAGTATTTTTTCCATCGGTTAAATAGATTTCAGAGTCATGACATTAGTGGCAGATTGGATATAAAATACTGCAACAGACAACTCCTTCTCCACTAGTTCCCAGTCTTTGCTGTTAAGCTGCTGCACGGAGTACAAGGCATCCACCAATCCAGGGAAGCTGCTGCCAGCGTAAGCGTTGTGGGCACTGGGAGCGAACACCACGTGACTAAAAAGATATGAGGTGGCATAAAAAACTGAACGAAAAAACGAATTTCTTAAAGACATTTGTCACATGAAAGATTTAAGGTATTACGAGGTGTCTCTGGTAGTAGGGTATATTGTGTTTAACCTTAATAAAGAAGAATTTTGTTGGATATCTACCGAGCCGCCAAGTAGGAGGTTATTACGCACCATTTTTACTGTCACTGGGGTGAATCAAAAAGAATGTAACTCTTTGTGCCAAATTGCACATGAGAAGCGTGTTGTTTGGGTAGTTTATATAACTTTACTTAATAAACACTTCACGAACTTTTTCCGAAACTCAACCCCGTCGTTTTAAATAGGAAATTGAAGATTAGTTCCCCGTTGAATTATAATATTACCGCATGTAAGGCCTTCCCGGCAGTCCTTGAGGGTTGATAAAGGCTCTCTCGAGCTGCATCAGGCGATCATTGGCTATTCGAAGTTTCAAGGAACTATTGTTGGAAACATAAAGTTAAAACAAATAAATATCAGGTAGTATCGAGAAACCGATTTCACACTAATGAAAACGTGCTCTACAATGTATTTTACTCACTCCTTTTGGTCAACAGAATTCAACCATTCTTCGAATTCGGAGGTTGCGTCACTGAAGTTAGTAACACTAGACATAAGATTATCTAAGAGAGAAAAAAAGGATTAAGTTATTTTCTGTTGGCTCGGGGGAAATCTGTCTTTCTGACATGTCACGATCTGAAATTTCAAAATTCGCAAAAAATGACCGAGTCCAAATAGGCCACTTACCAAGGACTATATTGTGCTGATTGAGAATTTTCTCGTACTTAGTTTGGACGTCTTTGGCATAGTAAGTTAATCTGCTAGCATATTGTGAGCAGTTGAAGGGCAGCAATGGCTGATCAGTCAAAGTCAAAGCAATCTGAAGCCACAACTGAGTCAATGTCTTGTGATATTCAAAATCACGATCAACAAAGGTCTTCATCCAGTAAAATGTGTCATGTACACTGTGGTAAACTGGATAGTTAGAAACAGGCCACTTAACCTGTAAGACATAAGAAACGATTTAACAAATCGATAGTGGTTTAGCGTGGTCTTTACTCTCATCGACTACGATATCCAACATCATAGTGATCAAAATGTTGTAAACTAACGAGGCACAGCCGAGTGAGTCCGCAGCAAGTTAACCACAAATAACCAAGCTAAATCGCTGTTGGTTTGTTTTTTTTTTAACATAATGTCGACGTCAGAATTTCCGAGTCATCCATGTTTGAGAGCTGATAAAGGCATCGCGTGACAATTTGACGTGAGCAGCGTTGTTTGTATCCTTGTCGACAATTACTGCCAATTGGGTTAGAATCTATGTTTTAGTTTTGTGTAAGGATGTCATGACCAATGTATTAAACATAAATCTTTGTAACACAGGAGTTTGTTAAGACAACCATCGTAGCATAATCTTTAACGATCTTGTTTTCTAGAATTGAACCCGAAAGGGAATTGTTAATCAAGGTGTTTGGTGAATGAGAATTTTATGGCGCAGACAGCTTGGAAGCACAGATTATTTTACTATTTTCCATTGCAGGTTAAAGGTCATGTGATGATCTAACCTTGTCATAAGTGAACTCAAAGTAAATTGATGGCACCCCCAGCCGAAAGTACACGGTCTGGTGGTCACTTCCAGAACCAACCTTTGAAACACTGAAATTCAATAGAATTAAAATTCATAGAATGTATATATCCTTTATATTCATATCCTCACAAGGATATTGATTGACTGCGTGCAAATTAATGAGCCACACTTTAAGTGATGCTTCTCTATAAATCTTTCGAAAACATAACCGACTGAAAAATACTCACGTTGGCAGCTTTGGATTGTCTTTATTCGGGACTTTCTTCTTCCAGTCGTCAAATAACATTTCAGTGGATTCTCTTACACCAGGAGGTTTGATCTACAGAAATAATGATATTGTTTTGTATGTTTTATTGCCCATGAACTCGACTTAGACCAGAGAGTGTATTGATCATTACACCGGTAAATGAATGGCCCGAATGCCTTTAGCGTGAGGGCGTGCTAAAGTTATATTAAGTGTTCCCAACTTACCTTTTTAGTTGCCTCCATAAAAGCAAATTCTAAGAGGGGACTGGACTGAACCATTAAACTGTAATTCCCTAAATTTGAAAGAAATATATATTGATTCACAGCGAAGGTGACAAGACAACTTAGATGAACACTTTCATCTGGTGAACAATGTTCCAGCGAGGAATTAAAGAGATGAATTCCACTTGTTGAACAACTTAAAAAATATCACGCCCAGATCTTTGAAAATTGCGACGATTTTTTATATTTCCTTCGTCTTAATTATAAAATAGATTCCCCTTGTCCCTGTTTAAATAGATTACAGATAATACACCGACCTGCGCAAAATAAGGCACTTCTCTGATAAAGAAGTAAGGGTTACCCACCTACCTTTCACAGCAACGTCAACATTGAGATAAGCAACAGCTCGATTGGAAAGAAGATTGGCAAAATCCTTTAATAAAGAAGAAAAATGACGAATTATTACAATATGCGATTATCAAAGCGACCAAATTGTGCGAGTTTAAGTTCTATTTTGGTGATTTTTTCAGTGTATTTATTTCAAGCATGATCCATGCCTCTTACCACGGAGTAACGCGCATGAACCAGATTAAACCTCAACATTCCTATAATCAGTTTCAGATCAGTTTGGGATATTTACAAACAAGCAGATACCACCCATATTTCAAAAATTGTATGTTTGTTACGTTTCTTCGTACTGTTTAACTTACCTCAGCCCATTCAGTTGAACCAAGCATCCCATGCTCCTCTGCTCCCCAACTACAAAGCACTATGGTCCTTCGTGGTTTCCACCCTATGAAATATACGCACATAAGATACGACCAACCGAAACCTGCCAAATCCACCAAACCATAAGCTGATTACGTTACCTTTTTTTCGCATTTCTCCTAGTCGCATGGAAAGTTCCATCAAAGCCGCTGTACCGCTGGACGCATCTGCAGCACCAAAGATCCAGGAGTCTCTGTGGTTGCCAAGTAACACCAATCGATCTGTTTGAAAAACAAACCGTACAACGTAAAGAAATGGAATAATCATGGGTGACGAAGAAGTGTGATTTTCAATTAACTCACCTGGTTCTTCTTGTCCATTTATATTGCCGATAACGTTATACACGGCCGTTTTCTCCAGCTTCATTTTTATGTCTAAGTTGACTTTCCTGAAAGAGACGTTAAAGCGACGGGGAAAGAAGAACATGTAAGCGTAAGCTCGGGAATGAATGAATGAATTAGAAGCTAAAATAAGCTTTACGATCATCCCTGACTTTGCTAATAAGATTTCTTTACCTTTTGTCTTGAGTTGCCATAGTAATGTTGTACTTGATTTGTAATTCTCCCTGCCAGTCCTCAGGGGCTTCATTTCCAGTCAGTAGTCTAAAGATTTCATACAAAATGCTATATTCACAAAATTTCGGCTGATTATAGAAATAGTTTTAAGCTATAAAATTTACGAAATTTCTGTATAGTGTACGTTTTAGCACCCAAGTTAATACAAAAAAAGGAATGGCTCATAAAACTACTCAGTTAAGAATGCAAATTAACTTAACTGAAGTTAATGAAGCATAATAAGTAGTCGTCGACTACATGGGGTTGGGGATTCAGGATTTTTCTTCATCCCCAGCTATAGTGTTTGTTCTCTGCCTCGCTTATTAAAATCATTCTAAACAGTTTGATTATATATGTTCAATATTTCCAAGTGTGCCCGGGAGTTCTTGCCTGGTTTTCCTTGTAAAAAAAGTTTCGACAACATCATTTGCGTACATTTTAGGAAGGAATCATTTCAGAAGTCAACACCTACTTTAAAAAATGCGCAGCGTCCTCGTACGAGATGGGGTAAACTGGAATACTGGGGAGAGCAGCTTTGTTTTCTGAAATTCTGTAGATTCCGTCTTAAAAACAATATCGAAAAATCATTGATATTAGGACAGCTTAAAAACTATTCCATTAAACGCTAAATCGTTAGCTTAAAGCCGATTTGTAACACTCAGTCAAGCAATAAATGCAACCCACCTCTTGCAGGATATCCTGGGGTGAGAGGATCTCCCTGTTCGAAATTAAGTAGAGTTCCTCTTTGTATTCCCGAAGGAGGAAGCCACCAACTGTTTGGGAAAGTGTTGCCAGCTCCCTCAAGACTGACGTCAGATGGGTCTGTGTACAAGATCAGTCCAATGGCGCCTGCTTCTGCTGCGATTCTCGCCTGAAAATAGATTGATCCAAAATCCGCCTCACGACAAGTTGCGACACACATTCAGTTCATCTAGTTTTCTTTTTTTTTTCTAGTATACTTTGGCTTAATTTATTTTATATAGCAGATCCCGGTTTATAATCTACTCGACAGCCTGTTTGAAAGAGGTCTTCAAGCGCCTTATTCAAATGGTTATATGTGAACATTACCTGCCCAATCTGTCCGATGATACTCACTTTGTCTCCTCTGTAAATTTTTCCGTACTTCGCAATCACAATCTGACCCTTAACGCTGATGTTCATTTCGCGGAGTTCCTGAAAATCCTCCACCATTGCATAGTTGACGTAAACCAAACGTGCCTGTCAAAAATTAATACAAAACAGGTTTCTGTTGTATCGTGAGGAAAACTGCCGAAAGTTCTGTTCTGTATAATATTTCCTAATGTGTCCCAACATGTAAATGAATCTTCCCCGAGTTTCATAGTTTATCACAATAAACTTAGTCTCAGTTTAAAGCTTCATTAATTTAGAACCACAATTACTTCTTAATATGTCTTAACATGTCTTGTCTCCTTCATTTTATACAGAGATACCTCTGAATGAATCGATGTAAATAGGCCTGGTCTCCATGTAATTGCCTTGACCAGGTTGTCTCAAAATTTGGAGGCCGGATCAAGGCCAATCGGAAGACAGCCGTTCAGACACGACAATCGTGAAAGAATTTTTCGAGACTAAACTTAGTACTTCTGGATAGTTTGACTTCGGGACGTAGATAAAAAATTATCATATGTTCAATTGTTGATGGCAATTTTCTGATTTGTTACGCTAACCTACATTTTTTTAATATGCAGGTTGTGTGTGAGTGTTTGTTGGTTGGTTGGTTCCGTGTTTTATTCTCAAACTAGAGAAAAACTCCCATGCTTTAAAGAGAAAATTAATATAAAGACGATATATGTGAGTTGATTTGATTTCAGGGTGGAACCACTCTTAACGATAGACGCAATCGAAATGTATCTTGGTGTAACCAATTTTTCCGGAATCCGTTGCATCTGCCGAATAACAGTAATTAGTGTCGACAACGGCGTTTCTCAAATGCTCGAGGCTATTGCTTGAAAGCCATTGCGTTGCTCAAGTCATCTTGATCGTGCAGTTTATGTCTCATGACTAAAGGGATAATCGTAACAACCCAGGCGATCATGGATAAATAAGAAGGTTTAGAAATTAATTTGTCAACTCAACTATTACAAGAGAGAACTGTATGAGTGTTCATGTGTAATGGGGTCACCATATCACCTTCGTTCATTTCATGCCACGTGCAAGGATATAAGACAAATCTCGAAATGTGCCAGCTTCAAAGGGGTAACTGTAAGGGTTATGCATCTAAAACTATTTAGCATTAGCATTTGTGTTTTGAAATCCGCTGGTTTTTCAATCTTGTGTGTCATTAACCACCTTTTTATCTTTTGGTGCATTCTTGTCGGGTTATTGTTTTTCTTCCCTGCTAAACTTCCTTGTCTAAAGCATTTCCTCAAATCAACTAGCTTAATTTTCAACGAACTCATAGAAAGACCACTCAGAAGATAGCTTCTCCTCACTTTGTTTATGCAAAGTACCCATCCTCAGCATTTTTATCATTCCTCACTTACCGTGACATTTCCACTACTGGAGTAAGCATTAAAAGGTGTAAGTACATCTGGAGAATCCTCAGAACGCTCGAGTACTTTCTCCTCTCTCTGAGCAGTAAAGACAGTTGAGCCGTTGGCGGATTTTATCGACGCTATGCCGGGTCTGTCCGGATAGGAAAGCAGTACATCGTACTTTTTCAGTTCGACTTTGTCCAGTCCATACTGTTCCCATTTCTCTTTGATGAATTTCGCTTGCTCATAGCTGACTTTGGACCCACTTGGATGAGGCGCTTTGGAAAAATATCTAAAGAATCGCGGAAAAATACAATGCAGTTATCGAGATGAAAAATATTAAGTTTGTCAACAGTAAGGTTGTCAACTTAAGTACCCACTTTCTCCCCCGTCCATCAAAGTAAGCATGCTACGTCAATCCTATTTTAAGCAAAATATACCACTTGTCTGTGATGATATTCACCAAGCATTAAAAGAAAGAAAAGAAAGGAATACGAATTAAATTTCTGAAGTTCGTAGGTACTGAGCGGTGATTACAGCAAGTCATATAGAGTTCGTTTAGCTAAACGTTGCTAAAGATTGAGATATAAGTAGATACTTCGGTGAGCAATCTTCGTGTCTGACGATTCTCTGTACTGAACTAGTCAAAAGCTCTTATAATAATCACAAAAAAACATTTTAAAACACTCTGTACAAAGCAAGTACCTCCTCTGTCAATTTGTTAAATTGTTTTTAAAGAACCGCTTTTAGCGTGACTGCCTGCAAAACTTCGTGACAGAAACTTGTCGCCTTATTTTAATAATGCATGCTAATTTTAACATTGACTTACCTTAAAGACTCTTTTATGTTTCTACTCGATATTCTATTGATAAATGGCCCGTGGAGACTGTCTAAGTCTTCACGGGACGAGACTGTTGCTTTACATTCACGAATATTTTGTGTCGATATGAAATAACCGCACACAGTTCCTAGTCCACATAGAACAAAAATGATGAGTGTTCTCATTACACAACGCCTCGATCTCCATTTGATTGGAATAATTGTGTTTGTCTCCTCTTCGTCGGGATTAAGACGCGAGTATCTTCTCCCTCGAAATTGTCGTGAAAGTTCAAAATCTGTGTGAGAGTTGAGAAGCGGTTCCGAGTCATAATCGTCGTAGATATATTCATCTTCTACTGGAAAATCCCCTCTTAAAAATCCATCGTCGAAATTAAATTCACTTTGTGTACCACGTGGAGAGATAGAGTCTGACAAAGCCATCGACTACTTGGCAACACGTTGATTATTTCCGTTTTGTCGCTTGTTTTTTTTCCTTCCGGGAACCAATTTCAATTACAGATGATACCTTCTATCTAGATTTCATACAAGAAGACTTTGTAAGTGCATAATTATTATTCACTTCCAAAAAGAGTGCCGTATACAATAATTTGCCACCAGTAGCTTTGTCTGTTGTTATCATCGTAGCTAAGGGGTTGGTAATGAAAAAAACTTCTTTTTAAAAAAAGGTCCAGTCTCTCTCGTTTCAAAATTCGCAACCCTGCACGTTTTATTTCAAAGTCGTCAACATGAACCAAGAAATAAAGAGCTAACAGTTTTTTCGACGAGTTCAACATGTATGTAACTGCTTCCGTTGAAGCTAAATGTCACCGCTTCCGATAAAAGCTGCGAAATATTATCTGGTTAGATTGACGCCCTCTAGATTAGTTCCGTTAGACGGAAAATTATAGTTAGCGTTTCATTTCAGGATAAGACCCCGTCTGATCAAAATCGTTTTTTGAATAGAAGACAATTTAGACCGTAATCCTCGATCAAAATAATCAAGACCCACGAACGTTGGTGAGCAATAACTTGGTTTGTGATTATGTTACCTAGCTCGTAGTTGTTACTCAAAGCCAAACTTATCGCTCGTTTTTTACCTTTTTTTTTGTTCCTTTAATTGCCACGTGTTCGTTTCCAAAATCGAGATCATTCTTAAGCTATGATCACAATACTTAGGTAATTTCTTCACGTAATGATTTCAGTTGACCGCTTCGATATATTAACGCCCCAAGGAATAGGAAAAGGAATGAAGAAAGAAAAGATCCTACATTGGTTTGGTGTTTATCGCATGCGCGTGTATCAACCCGGGAATCGAGTTTCCAAATCTAGCTTGAAAGGAAACATTTACACTGTAACGTTATGAGCTTTAACGCATAGTTGGTTTGAAAACGCCAGCTTGAATTAAAAGGGAGGAAGGTGAAAAAAAAAAACAAAAAACAACAAAGACTATTTAGCACAAGAGATTTTCGGAGGGCTTAGGCCGAATGTTAATTCCGGAAGTGAAAAAATTGATGGTTAAGCCCTTCAACGAATTCTATGTTGTTCAGCCATGGAGCATTGACAGATTCTTTGTGGGGGAATCAGATTTGTTTTTCTCGTTATTCTACGCTTGTAACAAAAGAATTGCGTCTTTCATTACTGTTATCATTTTCAATGCTTGAAAATTTTAAAATAAATATGTTAAGTACGTCGTCCTTTCCCCATTTCTTCTTAAGTTTACCAATGTCCTAAAATAAGACTATTATTATTGGCGAAACTAGAGCAAAACAGTTGTAGGCCCAACATACTTGTAAAGAACTAAACACCCGTTTATTAGTATCTTTTGTTTTTGCCCTTTGGGATTTTTGAATGGTAGTTTGTCGTGCGTGCGGAACGTATTTTAGCGTGTTAGTCGAGTAATTTACTGTAATATATTAGTATCTAAAGGATGTGTAAGCCTCTTCGGGTCAGTTTTTTCGCTTGCCATTTCCAAGCGGTCATTTTCGCCCTACGGCAGCTAGATTTCACGTTATAGTTCGTCGCCGCTCCAGTGCAGTTTTTTCCCAGCTCCTAACAAATGTAAGTGTTACTTTGGTCCAACTTTCCGTTGCATTTTAGTTCACTTTGTGACGTTCTTTTCTTTGTTTGTATTTTAGTTTTAACCGCTTTGAACAACCGCAACTACAACATCGTTTCTTAAATGAAGCGCGTTAATACAATGCTGATCAGCAAAACTGATCTTTAATAGCTTGAACGCCAGAAAATTTATTTTGTAGTCTAACTAAACACTTTAATATCAGAATTCAACCAGGTTTTTCTCAGATCAATTGTCACCTTTAGGTCGTCTCCATCCAAGAACTGATAATCGTCGTTTAACTTTGGTAGCTTGGTGGATGTTTTTCGGAAGATTAAAGTGCAATTTTATGTAGATGACACATCAATGGACGGTTCTGATAATCTGAAGTTAATAAAGCCTTTAAAAGTGCAAAAGGAAATGGTTAAAGGCCAATCGTAATGAAACAATCTTGTTAGTCAAAATAAAATGACTGCTGCGCCAAGACAGAGCAGGTAATAATTGATATGCAAGAAGAATTGAAATAAGCTTCACCCTGGACAGCTGGAAGCCTACACTTCCCAAATTATTTCTCGTTTCAATTTATTTAAAATTATTCCTTAGCCTTAGTTTAGTTTCGTAACATCAATTTTTTTCATCACTAGTTCTTTTATTGTGAAGACGAAGATACGATTCACGATACGTCCTTGGCTAAAGCCACCATGCCTGAATGTGATGATCGTGGAAGTCAGATGGAAGGCTTGATCTAAATGATCAGAACTTACGAACTATAAAATGGCATATCTCGTTTTTAAATAATGTTGTAAGGTCTCTACTAGAATTAAAAAGAATGCGAAAAGGTCCCGGCAACCATTATATCAAAAACTGTTTTCCTTGAGTTTCTCACTGCTTATGTACACACTGCAACCTCACGCAGCCTGATTTCGAAGCAGGATATATTAAAGAGATATAGAAGTGTTTTGGTACAAGGGCTTGTAAAAACCAATGTTTGGTTAGTCCAATGCCTTGCCTGAACTGGGATTATATTTTTCTCGACATGATTCACTGACTTTGGCATGGCAAGCATGTGTACCTACGTTTTTATGATATAACCAAAACAAGATTTTATGCCGTGACCCCCAATAAAATATAAACGCGAGAGCGCCCTGATTTCCCTTGAAGCGGTTTAAGCCGAAAAAAAAACAATCATAGAAGAACATCATAGGCGTATTTTGTTAGGAAAACGCTTTAAATGGTGTCTCAAGTGGATTTCTATAAGTATGCACGACTAGTTGAAGCAAAATGTGTACAAGGGTCAAACAGATGTAGCATTTGCACCCTTCCTCACAAACATTTAGCTCGTATTAAAAATACTATTTTTTTCTGGGTGATTTTCCCTTACTTTACATAAATGATACCTTCCTGCTATTTATTTTTTAGACAAAATATCGAGCAACTAATTCGATATACTCAATTTATGTATCCACACCGTTCAGATGCCCCCATCTCGATATACACTTAATAAGGCGGTGGTAGACTCACCCCAAATGTTCTTCTATCTTCTCTTTAGAGATTGCTTTTACAGCTTCCTCGTGCAATGAATCTGAATTTCCACCTTTCTGTTTCTCTTGTTCTTTGTCTTTATCTCCGCATCCTGGTTTGATAGCTCGTGTTACCAAGTAGCCACCAATAAAAGCAGCTATAAATAATACTACAACTATTACTGTAGTTATAGCTATGCGTTTCTTGCCGCTTCAGCCATATCTTGCAGGGATACTCGTGCTTGCAAGCTTCAGTGTTTCGGGACGGTGCCCCATTAAGCGGACGCTAACTAAGCGAAGGCGATTTAGGAGGTGTTTACGAGTCTTGATCCATCAACTGGTCTCGTACCCAAGCCTTCCACGGCCAAGCGGTCGCCTGCAGTTAAATAGTGCTTCATCTTGCTATACTCGTACTCATTCCGACTATGCCCCCCTTTGTCTTGGTATCAAGGTTGATTGCCATATCCGGCCAAACTTGCGCAAACGGTTGGTTAGAGCGGCTTACACTGTGGTTTCCAGCAATGAACTCTTGGTGAACTGCGGGGTGAGTTAACTGCAACATGTGCATGTCAGAGAGATAGACTGGAAACCATCTGGAATAGTTGACCCTGTCCATAGAGAAAAAAAGGGGAACCATTTCTGTTGTGGCGGAGAGGTGGAGTTTCCAGTTTCCGGTTCGTTCAGCTTTAACGAACTGCAGAAGCAGCAGCACCATATTAATGTATCCTTCCCAGAAACTAAAAACTTTGGACTTTTCTCTGCCTTCAGATTTGAACCGCTCAAACAGTGTCATGAGAGGATTGACACAACCTTGAAATGCTTTCCAGGCATCGTTAACGAAGCAATCCTGTCTCACTGTATTCCGACACTCCCTGCTTTGGTCAGCAACACTCTGTCTGACTCGGTCATCCATACCAACTGCTTGTCTTGACAGTCAGTCTAGGAAGGCTTTCCACAACAACCTGAAGAGCGCCTCCATGGTTAACTTGTGGGCACGAATACCTCTGTTATATGACTTGCCAAGCATCAAAACTGAGGTAGTACCAGCTGCATAAACTCCCGAATCAATCAGTAAGTCTTCCAAGCCTGACTGTGCATACTTCTTTCCAAGCAGAGAGAGAAAGTTAAGGGCAATGTGGAACCCTCCCATTCTGATCACAGTGTTTTTAAACTCCTCTGGGTATTTCATTTGTAGCTGCTTGGCTTTTGCGTAGAGGGCAAGATCAAAGGTAATTACAGAATCGTGCTGTCTCATTGTGTCGCATATCTTTTGGGCCAGTTTCATCAGGGTGTAAAGAGTGCTAAAGTTGCTAGACTCTGCATGGATCATTGGGTGATAGCCGATGTTGGTCTTCACAGGAATGGTGGGGTGTGTGATGGCATTGAACCCACTCCAACCAGGTATAGTCTGTTCCTCTGGAGACTGTTGATTAAATGCCATGAGAGGATCAGAAAGACGAAGTAACATCCAGCAAAGGTCATCCATGCGGACAGATAGAAACTGTTGGTCGCACTGAAACCAGGTAATAACATCGTTCCCAACAAAATTAGTTAAAGCAGGACGTCTGCCTCCGAAACTAACTTCCTCCATGGCAACTACATTTTGAGCAGAATCCAGTGATCGCTTCTTCTTAGAGTGGTCAGCAAGCACAATCCGTTCTGGCAGAGGACCGTACTGTTTTGGCTGATATATAGCAAGTGTTGTTGCATGCGTTGTGTTCTTGCCGTCGATGGTTTCTTCATTAATATCGTTGTTATCAGCCGCCAACTGAATGAATGCACCAGGTCTTATGTTACTAGGGATGACAACACCACTGGCACGTGCTCTCGCTAAGCTTTCATTTGCCAAGCTGGTCTCCACTTGTTCGATCTCTTCATAGGAAGAACAGTAACCCATTCTGTTTAAAAGTGTTATCAGTTGTTTGGAACCAGTTAAGTGCTTGACGGTCATAGCGAGACCTACGTGCTTGGGCAGCTTTACTCTGGCATGTGATGCACAATGAATAAGATCCTGCCCAGCCATTACAATCTTCCGCTCATCGGTTGTACTCCTTGCACTAGGAGGTGAGTCGCTGTACTGTTCTCCAATAACAATCCACCTGATAAGCCAATAAAGGCTCTTGGGAAGAAGAGATTTTGAAGTAGTGTAAATCTCGGATGTCAAGTGGGTTGATGTTAATGCCCTCACATCTCAGCATCTCCCGCCTGATAATGGAAGCTATAGTGTAGATGTCTAGGAAACTGAAAGTTTCTGACTCTGGCTTATCCATGCTGATAGAGTTTGTTTCGTCACGTAATGGACAAGTGCTCGCTGCATTTATGATATCAATTAAGGAGATGGAGCTGCTGAAAACAATTTCCGGTCTGGATTGTTGAGGTGACTGATGGAAAACAAGACGTTCCTTAAAATGAGCCATCAATCGTGCTTTCAGCTTCTGCTTTGTGTAGCTACCTGCATCAATTCCTATCTTTTCCAGCTCCTTCTTGAACATTGCCAGCAAAACATTCACGTCGTAGGCTTTTCCTTCCTCAATTTCGGGGGTTATAACCTTCAGTAACTGATTGAAGGCTTGATCAAAAGTGCTTTCCTCTCTTGTGGATGTAGCGACGTTCTGTTTCCGCTTGATATTAACCTTGCTGATATAGCAGGCATGACACGCTTTGTGGTATTTTCCCTCCGCTGCAATAAGATCATAGCTAACCGACCGAAGTATGGCTAACAGTTTATGGTCTCCTCTTGCCTCTGCAGATTCCTTTATACTGTTGCATGCTTCAAAGGTGGCGATGTTTATTAGCTGTCGGTCCTTTTTTCTTGTTGCATTTTTGCAGAAAAGACACTTTGACCAATCAAACACCATGCGTCGCTCTTAAGATTCTGCTTGAACATCGCTTGAGGATTGTACTCCATAATACCGTAAATTCTGTTTGCTGATATATGTTTCGTAACACGATGAATGCCACAAAATATCTTTCCCGGCTACATTACGGAGATCGTCAGCTGACAAACGATGCGAGATTTCATCTTGCCGAACTTCAAGAACAGATATGACTTTCTGTATTGAAGACAGTTTTCCAGAGCGAAGGACGTCCCTGCTAAAAATGCACTCATCGAAAGAAGTTTTCTTTGCTGTCTTTGCTGGCATGGGAAAAAGCTGCCAACCATCCTTTTCCTCCGTGTCGTCTACAGCATTTGTGAAACTTATTATCTGTGCAGATAATTTATTTCCAGACGTTTTCACTTTTAAATCGGCATTTACAAAAGATACATCAGAATTACGTATCTGACAGAGTTTTAAAATAAAAAAGAGCTCTGTCTAAAAATCCTGCTGATAACCTCAACACATTGCTAAAACATGTTTTTTAAAGGAAGATATATGATCAAGCAGGAAAGGAAATACAAATGATAATATTACTAGCAGGTGCAATAGCGATGTTCTAGAGAGCAAAAAAGTCGCCGTAATACAGTTAAGATATCAAACCTTATCTATCTTGAACTCTTTCATGGCCGTTTACATCCACAGTCGGATACAAAACTCCGTTTACAAATCTGATTCTGAGGATCCAAAATGGCGGTCTGAAAATAAGGCCTGGATACTAATTTGCCATGGCTTGAACCATTCCTTATCTTTCAGAGAAGACAAGGCATTCATTGTTCCTAAAGCAACCATAACCGCTGAAGCTCAATACTTTAAACCACACCAGACAGAGCTCAAGGATATTTAAGGCGGTATATAGCCTTTATAGAACGTTTTGTTGAAAAAAATATTAAATATTTCAAAGAACTTTGAAATAACACTGCAGTCTACTGATATTCATAAAATCTGAATATATATAAGAAAAATGTTCATTAAAATTATATTCTTGTGATATTACTTTTTTACATCTTTTTCATACCACTTTTTCAAAGATTTGACCCGTTTTGATCGTGCTTTTATTCCAGCCTCGTTTCCATGTAAACAGTGACGGAAGAGAGACCAGCACTAACATTGTCGATTTTCTGGAGTTCTACGCTTCCAAATGTTTTTTTTAATGTAATTCGAAAGTACACGACTTCTTTGTATCCTTATATGATGAAAAGCCTGAATAAGTCCTTTACCCTAGTCTCAGCAGGATTTGAAATATGTCAGGATCGACAAAAGAGGCTGCTTTTTGACGAAAAAATAGTCATGTGATAATCACGTGACATGCTGTCGTACCATGTGAACACTCATATTGTAGGCAGGTACATGCTCATCACTTTTCCAGAAAGGTTTGGGGCACTTTAGCGGAAGAAGATGAAATTTGAGGTCAATTTCTGTTTGAGCCTCGTCTCTATGCTGAGTGCCATGTCATGATATAAAGCCCCATTTTTCTCGTCAGGGGTACCACAATTCGGGACTACATAGTATCTTAGCTTAAAGAGCAGGTATTGGTCTATCAGAATCAGCTGTCAAACCTTTTCTGTCAGGTGGGTTGAACGAAACCATTTTTTGCTGGGTCTGGCTCCTTGACTAGGTTTGCATGGGCGATATACTTCACCTCAGCAGATGTTCAGTACCTCATTATACTCTTCTGACATTTAAACCGATCTAAGAATCACTCGGTAATGTTCTATTTTTCGAATGATCGTCATTTTTTGTCATGCAACTTAAAGCAATTAAATAACTGTCGAGAATTATGGTACGATTCATAAATTAACGAAGGATGAATGAAGCACGGGACCCTAATCGAGGTTAAAAAAAAGGCTCGTGATCAATATAAAAACAATGATCATCATTACACGAGGGCAGAAAAACGTTACCAAGTATATTCAGAATCGTTTGGCACAAACAACAGGCTGTTAATAAGCTGGCCGTATAGTAGCGTTTGAAAACAGGTAGGAAGAAAAAGCAGCAGACCCTTCAGAGTTCTCAATCTTGTTTTTATTGACTTTTGGAATTAATTGTCGACCTATTTTTAGCGCCGGTGCTTCAGTCCCTTTTTCTTGTTTTATTTCATTCTCTATGTGTCATATGTTATTCATAAAACATTGTAACACTTCCATTTCTCACGCACATAAATGTTAACATTAAAAGTGCTTAGCAGAAATTCAAATTTGTATAGGTAATCACATGATTTCGAGTGCAATTTAGAATAAATAAGTACGAGTAAATTTTTTTAAAGACTAAAAAAATTATACGAGCCCGTAGGGCGAGTGCAATTTGTGATATTTGAAAAAATTAACAAGTGCTTATTTATTCCAAATTGCACGAGAGAAATCATGTGATTACGTGTTAATAATAAACATGAAAAAATACGAGATAGCCTATCATAATTAAGCATAAGCCAAGAGCGTGTATCAAGTGCAAAAGTAATTTATTCAAACCGTGCGTTCAGTCAAAACAATAATATGCAATGATATCTTCACATCTTTAAGACGCAAAAAAGTTCAAAGTCCGGCTAAACAGTTCAAGGAGTTGTTCAGTCCGTGTCCGAATCACTTTCGATGAAATGGAATCGTCGTTTCCTAAGTTTAACCATGTTTGTTTTTAATTTCAGCATTGGATCACTCGAACAAAGTGTTAAGCTGGGTCGGTTCGTAATTTTCGATTTCCTTGGCAATTCCCATCTCTAAACACCACTTTTTCCAAACCGACAACCAAAAAGAAGTGATTTTTACAGTGTTTTTGTTATTTGAGCTGTTTTTCAGCCGCGGTGGCGAAAGAAAACCTACCTAAAACGCCAGCCATCGTTTCACTCGCAAATTTACAAATTTTGTCGCGGCATCCAAGGCTCGCCCCAAGGATTTGATTGGCTGTCAATGAGTTTCTTTGATTGTTGACCAATCAAAATGTCTGATTTGTTACTTTCTTTGCACTGAATTAACCCTCTTCTGCACTGAATTAACTCTCTTCTGCACTGAATAACCTGAAAACTGCATTGATCTTAACCAATCAGAACTGAACGACAGATCTAAACCCCAATCTAACGAAGATCGCGGGCTCACTTATACAATAATAATAACAATAACATGAAACGCTTTCAGACATAATTTAAAATTGCACTTAGCTTTAAGTCAACTTTTTAGTGGAGCAATTGTTAATCTAGTACTATGAGATTACAATAGAAATGTCTTCCTTTTACTTAAGACCTCTAAATGGCGAAAAGGACATTGTGGTTCCCTTTGGCAAAACCACGATCGGAAGAGGTCCTTTACTTGGGGTAGGATTTGCAAAAGCATAGCAACATTTTGAGTTGGTTCTTTAGAAATTCGCTTCGTGTTCTCTTCAAGCTATACTTACCATATCTATTTATTCTTTTCCAACAGGTGACAGACAAACGAGTGTCTAGATCGCATGCGGTACTGGAGGTGAAAGATGAAAATCTTACTATTCTGCCCGTAAGTGATTAAGCTAAGTGATGACTGTTGCCTAATCATTTAGTGGAGACACTCACTCTTTAATTGCTTTCTGAAATCTATCTTTATTCATGGATCAAGTATCTAATAAGCTGGTTCAATTATGTTACTTGATCACAGTACTTTTACATCATTCAGTAGTCCTAGAGTAATATATCACTAACATTGGAAAAAATACTTTTACTATGTTCTCAGTATAATACAGATGACAAGACAATGCACATGCCAGCGATTTTACCCCATGCCCACCCCTATCGCACATTATTTCACCCTTCACCTTTCTGTTAGCCATCATAGTTTTTTCCTCACACACTGTAAGAATTTTTTAAAGTAATTATTTTTTATTCGCTAAATATGATGATAGGGGATTAGAGCAGATGTGACTCCATGTTAAATTTTTTCCCTTTATCTTAACTTTATCTTACTCTGTTACCTGGCTGAATACCCAAATGGGAAAAGCAACAAATCTAAAGTACTGAATTGCTTCCCACATGCATATACATGTACACCATGTCTCCTTCTGGTGTGCAGAACCAATCACCTGGACTCTTTTACAGTTCTGTAAATCTCATGGATATATCATTGTTTTTCCATTAAAGTAAGGAAGTTATGTAGATTTTATCCTGGCCTATTCATAAAATTTTTTGGTTTCTGGTTAAGGATGGTTGTATGGTTATTTTTTTCCAATCTTTGGGGTTATTTGTTAGGTGTACTCGAGAGGCTTCAGTTCATGAGAAGAGACTGGGAAAAGATTCAGGGGTTTGGGGGAGGAGGTGATCCTAAACCAAACAGCTCCAGATTTTAGATTCCCAAAGTTTGGCACCTCTGTAAATGGGCATTAACGAGTTATTATTTGAGATTCTCAGTTTGCTGCCAAATGTCATACCAGTAAACAATATTCAGACAGCAATCTTCTTAGACCAACTCCAGGCAAGGTGTGGATGGCAGTTGTAAAGGTTGACTGGTTATTTATTGGTGATGATTCATTATGATTGAAGTTATTCCTTACCTTTTAGCTTCACATCAATCCAACCTTCTTGAAATCTTCTGATGGAAAGAAGTTTGTAAGTTTGAAGAAAGGCAAAACCAGAGTCCTGATTGATGGTGATGTTATTGCATTGCTTCCAGACAGCTTGTGCTTTATGGTTGTTTGTCAGGGAGACTCACTTGAGAATGGTGTAACAGAAGAACAAGTGGGAATCTCCAAGAATAAGATGTTAGATAAGCTTCTTACTAAGTCAAACAAGGCTCATGATAAGGAAAAACCTACAAAATCATCAGACACACCCACAGGTGCTGCTAGTGAGTAATGCATTGGGTATTTTGTATTTCAAGAACTTGAAGGGAGTTGAGAAGTGGGGGATCAGTTAATAGTTGATTAAAATTTTAGGTATTTGACATGGGAAAAAATAAGTGATAAAAGTGGTTTGAAGAATTAAAAACAAGAAAAAGTGAAGAAAAATGTTTTTTTCCTTATTATGTGTGAAACAATGAGATATCAGACAACAGGCCTTTGGATTATATATTCTAACCCTCTACCACAGAGCTTCAGAGACTCTGGTGAGCTAGGCCAATTTCACTAGGTTTGGTTTTTGTGACCCACAAAAAAATGATATCACAACAGATGAAAGAGGGTCCTCAATAAATTTTTCAGGATCCTGGACTTCTTTTGAATGAACTATAACATTAAATGACATTTTTATTTTTAAAACAATTATATTCTTATAGAAATCATGTCTATAAACTTTTATAATTGTAGCTTTAAGACTGAGGTATAACATTACTTTTAATTATTCTGATATTGTTTGCAGATATGTTGCTGGATGAATTCATGAATACTAAGCCTTCCTTAGGAACATTTTCTGCTGATGCATTTACTAAACATGCCAATGTGAACTTCACAAACAGTAAACCATCCACTCAAGACACAATTACAGCTAATTCCTCCTTCTCTGTGGTAGGTATCAGTAGATTATCATTAAATTAAATCGATGAATCTTTAAAGCAATCAGCCCCTATGAAAGCGCAAAGTGTAATTTTGTTACTTTGATTGAGTTATCTGTTGTGGTGAATCAAATATTTCAAAATGTGTATTAAGTCTTGTTATCTAATTATAATTTGCAATAATATATGTTAAACTAGATTCAACACACATGTACATAACTTTTCTAAGAGGCCTAGAACTCTGTTCTTTAGATAGAAAAAGATGTGATACCACCATACAGACCATTGGTAGAGCCTGCACCTTTGCTGCAAAAGACACGCAAACTACCCTCATGGTTAATAGAGTCAACAAGTCAAGTAAAATCTCCTGCTAAGAATTCAGTTAACAGGAGAGGGAGAACTTTGGTTAGCCAAAATGTAGAGAAGAAAACAGCCGCAGGTAATAGTTGTAGAGTGAATTTACCCCCTAGAAGTCTATTATTCAGGCTGGTGCTGTCTTCTTTAAGTTGTTGGATTCAAATTATTGCATGTAACATTTCAATGAATAATTTCTTATGTTTAACAAAATAAGTTGCTTAATCATAAAAATTACAATTTCCTTGATTGTGATTAGTTTAAAAAACTCCTATTTTCCATGTAGTAATTCACTTGCCAAGTTGTTATCAGACAGTTTGTTATCAGGCAGTTTGTTATCGAACAGTTTGTTATCAGAGCGGTTCAATATGCCAAACGCATTCAAAGTTTTAGTTTAAATCTACCAATTACATTAATTTTAAATTTTTAGTTCAAATTAGCTGATTACAACCTTGGTTTCAATCACCATAGAAGCAGTGTACAGATTCATAAATTGGGGCTTCTTACAAAATGGAGGAATTTTTTCCCTTGAACAATGACAATAGTTTAAAAGATATTTTGATTTTTGTCAATTTCAGAGAGGCATTTGTCAGTCTTTAATGCAATTTCCCTTTCTTTCTTAGATTGGCTATTCTTCTTTTCCTAGAAATGCTAATTTTTATGATTAATTGGTACAAAGACTTTGTGTTGTCCAATTTGGTCTGTAATCATACTCGTGACAAACAAATCACACTCCTGCTGTGTAGAGGTCTGATTTTGTTATCACTTGTATGGTTACAGACCAAATTGGACTCCACTGAGTCCTTTTACAATTACTTCTTGCCTATTGTTACCTTACTGTATGGTGGCTTGTAATGTTACTACATACCTACATGAACTATAGTTAAAAAAAAACAGCACCTGACATTATGATTTTGCAATAGGCAAAATTGTTCAATCTGTAATATTGTATGCCAAAAAAAAATAGATAAGCAAATAATTAATAGAGTAAGAAATTTAAAACCATGTCCAGTGACCTCCTTATTATTTACTTATTGTGGTCTATTCATACTGTCATCACTTGATTTCCCAAATTTCACTGTTCACTCTCTTACTTTGAAGATAACAAAGAAAGAAACAAAATCACTTGGAGGGAAAAATTGTCAGCGAAGGAGGAACAGAAGGTTTCAGGCATAGATGAGGATTTTACCATGGGGGATGATGATGAATCTGAGCATTTGAAGGATAGAGGAAAGACCAAATTTGCAAAGAAAAGATCATCTACAAGCACTGAAGACAATGAGGAAGATGTCAAACCCACAGAAAGCAAGAAAACAAGAACAAGCAGAATACTAGGGAATGAAAATGATGTTGACAACGAGCCTTCAGGACCAAAAAGCAAGAAGGATATTCGTAAAACATTTTCAGGAGATACTGATACTGGTGGAAGTGATGATGAGATGTCTGCATCCAAAGTAGAAAGAACCCAAATGAAGGTAAAAATTGGTACTTCCTCTTTAATCAGCAGCCCTTTTGAATAAGTCGCCAACCTGTTTGACAAAGTTTAAAACAAGTGCCCTTCCCTCCCTGAATAGGCACCCTCTTTCCTTCCCTTCCCCAGTTTTATGGGCCAACACTGAAATATGAATGGGTGTTTATTATTGTTTATGCTAAGTGATCTCATCTAGCCTTTTTATGATCAGAGGTGGTAATTCATTTTTGCAGCATCATTACAATACAAGAAACTGTCCTCTACTTTAAGGGGGACATTGGGGTGTGCTGTATTGTGGTATCACAAAATTTCTCATGGTATTTGGGTAAAATTAATCTTGAATTGTGGTATTCTGGAAACTCGTGTGATACAGTTTTTTAACATTTTGGATAGTATTAAAAATTATCCTTCAAGTCCTCCACAGTTTTCCAAGCCTTTTCCAGTTTGTTTTGGAAACAGGCTGAAACAGTAGCTGAAGATTTAAGGTTCTCTAATCCTTCATGGGAGTTATTATATGAAGCATGATCACAACTGATTTTGAACAGTCCTGTTTGATCAATGACTTTAGTGGCCAAGTACAAGTCACAGCTTTGTGGTCCTGTACTGAAGTGACATTTTTTTGTTATTAAAAAAAAAAACTATGTTAGTTTGTAGAGTGGTATGTTGTTCAAACCAATGAGATCACTGCATTTGGGTATGTATCTTGTACCACTATAAGGGTATGTATCTGGCACCAATCAGATTGCCGCATTAAGGTATATATCTCTCACCAATCATATCACAGCTTTCTTTTGGAATCAGGGGGCTGTGCACAAAGAATGATGTAAACCATAAATTTTGGGCTAATTTTGATAAGTGTAATGGTTTGTGGCCTTCATGGGAGCCTCGTTGCTTAGGGTCAAGATTTATCAGGATATGAAAGGTTCACATTTAACCTTTTTGTATCATTATTAAGTTAAAAGGTGTTTTTTCCACTCCTTTACTCACAACTCGCATACCAAACAACTTACATTCCATCACGTATCATGAAAACAACATCTAAAGTCCAATCAGAACATACCAAATCATATCACTACATGAACATTTGACAATTTTTCAGGTGCTTGAATTGTTTACTACAAATCAAATTCCATTTTGTCAAGTAATAGTAAATTTTATTCGCAGTTCTCCCACATTTTGACTATTTCGATGAATATAATTGGCTTTTAGCTACCTTGGACTTAATTCAATCGCATGTTAATTTCTTGTGAACAACCTGCATTTTATCATGTATTTCACACATGGAGGGCAAAGTCCAGGTAGGCAATAAGCAATCAAGAAGCACTCTTTAAAATATTATCCTTTTCTTTTGATCAATGTATCTTCTTTTATTCAAGATCGCAGTATATCTTTGGATAGGGTCTATTGGAGATACAACAGAGTTTCAGTTTGCTTTTCATAGTAAAATTATGCAGAATTATATTTTTGAGGCAACTAATTGTAGATGAATAATTTTGATTTTCTCTCTATTTAAGGTATTTTTCCAACTGTATCACACTATTACTAGTCCATGTATTTGTTTAAGTATAGTACTTGGGAGGTTGGGAGAACACTCGATAAGCTGGAAACCACTCAGCTTCGCATTGTGGTTTTCCACGCTTATCTCATGTTCTCCCAACCTCCCGTGTGTTTACATCAGGCTATGTAAACATGAAAACCATTTTACATTTCTTCAATAGTGACTACATACATCATACATGTATTGTTAGACAAACTATTAAACATTTTTTGCTCTGTAGACGGCATGAAAAATTATGCTACCAGTTGAGCCTCTCCAAAATGGCTATGGGGCAGGGAAAAGGTGCTGTTGTATGAGACCTGTATTTTTTTGAAGAGGAAACAATATTTTTTTAAAAAAATTATTTATTATAGTAGAATCCTAATTAACTGATGCAAAGGTTTTTAAATTAAGCCGTTACCAACAGTTCTACGGTTGTAATGTTTTTCCCTCTTCTTTTGCAGGAAAATGAAAAAGAATCAGACAAAATGAAACTTCCACCCTGTCCTTATGGAAAGAAATGCTACAGGTATATCTACCAAGCTACTGAAACCAATTGAAGCTGCTATCTTAATTTAGGGATTGAAAATTATTAGTTTTACAATGTATTTGACTTTCTTGATCATTAATGGTCTCATTTTTACAATACCAGATTTCCAGCTGAGCACTCCTTAAGGTGCTTTGTTTATACACTTATTGTACAGTGAATTATTTTTATAATAAGTGAATAAGAATTTGATGGTGTTTTCATGATTAAAGTAATAGTTGTGCATGAGTAAATCAATTTTAACAATAGAAACAGTGTTGCTATATAGCTTACACATTGCATTTCTTCAGTTGTACAGATATAAATTTACCTTGAATTATTTCCTTAAATCTTGTGAAGAAGGAAACCCTCTGTGATCACAAATTTGATAATTATTCATCTTGTTTAGCAGAGATAAAAATAGAATGCTTGCTCCATTTTTTACTTTTCTGCCCTATTATTTTATACACTAAGTGTTAGTCTGCTGACTATAGGTTAAGATTGCTGATTTCAATTGGCGGCCTAACTTTTTGAAAATAGCATTAAAGTTTATAGACTTTCTTTTCATTAGGTGATTTGGAAAAGCAACTGTTTCAATAAGATTTTCAGTTGACACTTGTAAACCCACATGAAAAATCCTGTGTGAAAAAAAAAAATTGTGAATGTCATTATGCTAACTGTGAAGTTTTCCTTTAGTTCAGATAATCATGATAGTGATAGGCAGCACTATTTTGACCCATATTGAATTACAGTGTAGTTAATACTTTGATAAATCAATTCTTTTTCCTTTTCATTTGTTCCTGGCTTTGATGATGTTAAGGAACTTGGTGATCTCCATTTCTTTATCACTGAATTGTTATCAGTATAGATTGTTAAATTCATCTTTCTGCCACGCTTGGAAAAATGTGAATACTGTTCAGAGCCACCTCAATAATTAAAATATGTATGGTGGCTGAAAATTTGCAGAAAGATATAAATATATCTTGAAGTGCTCATTGCACTTCAGTTACAAAAAACAGGGTAATCAACTCGTTCAGGAGTTTCAGGCACATGAAGCTAAAAAATATGGGTGCATGACTATTAGAGACTGTTTTGCTGCAATGGGAAACTTAGATGATCACATTTTGTTGAGAAATAATTAGGTATTATTGAGCATGTTTTTACCACCTGTCTCAAGAAGAATTACAAACTGAAAAAAAAAAGCTACCTTTCAACAAATAATTTTTCAAAAAAAGAAAAGAAAACCATTTTGAGCTCCCTTCTGTTACTGACCCTGCCTGTCCAGACTGCACCTGTAACCATTATGGAATGTGAAAGAACCCACATAACTCCTCAAATAGAGGCAGGGATGTACTTGTAGACCTTCGAGTGCTGGTGTGGCCAGCTTTACTTCATGTATCCATGCTTTAGTGATGGACAGGTGTAATCATGAACAGATACAATGAAATTTTGTAATTGTTAGGAAACTCATTTGATGCATGGTAGGAAAATGTTTGGTATGAGTTCACTACATCTAAAACAATACACAGTAATGATATTGTTTCCTCAAAACAGGAAAAATCCTTTGCATTTCAAAGAGTATTTGCACCCTGACAAGGATAGTAGTGATGATGATGATGATGATGATGATAAAGTGGCTGGAGATGATAGTGATGATTACAGACCTGTTTGTCCTTATGGCTCCAGTTGTTACAGGCAGAACCCTCAACACAGAAAAGATTTCGAACACACTGATGCCGTAGGTAGGCTGGGAAGTGTCATGATATGCCATGCTGCATTGATTAGGTTTGGTATGTCCTCAGCAGCTACATGTAGGTGTAATAATCCAAATAGAAACTGCCCGAAATTAGTTTGATTCAATTATGATGCCAACCAATTCTAGCTGAAATGATAAAGATTAGCTGAGAAATTTGGTCTGGGATTAGTTTTAATCTTGCTAAAGGAAAATAAGTTTGATTGAGTTTGGATTGCATAGATTAATACTGTAACAGTTTTCCACTGAAATTTTTCTCATTTATCTAAAAAGGTCCCAAACATAAAACAACAAAGAAAAGGAAAAACCTTGATGGCACAAGTGATGATGATGGCCACAATACATATGATTACAATGACAGCTTCTTAGCTGATGATGCCAGTGATGTTGAGGAGGATGGTAGTAGCTACTCAGGGTCTGATGACCCTGATTGGCAGCCAGTACAAGGTGATGATAATGGCAAGGAGGATGTCAACCAGTTGTTACATGAGGCTAAAGGGTTTCTATGCAATAAGAAAATGACAAAACCAGTTTGAGAAACTTTTACAGTGTCCAATTGTTAGGTAACCAAAAATGTAAGTTTTTATTAATACACAATTGTAGCAAGTAGAAACCTTTTTTGTAATTTGAGTTCATTCTTTAAACATGTGTATGTGGAGTTCAGAAAAATTAGGAAGAGAGGTGCTTTTTGTGTTCTTTCCTGTATTTACTGGTGGTTAACCTGTACATACAAAGTAATGTACATGAACTAGAACTAAACAAGTAGTGTGAGACACTTCATAGATGAATTTTTGAATGAGTAGCTTCAGTGTTGTCATTGCACAAGAAGATAAACACACAATAATATAAGTTATAAGGCTAATATAGGCCTACATGAAGGGTTGCAAATGTTACTTTTCACCTATTTTGTCACAAGTTCTCAACCCCATAATAGAGGAAAGTGTAAACTCTAGTAATCAAGTTTTATCTTTGAAACTATACAAGACAACAGTGGTCATGCATTTGATATCCGTAACTTTGTTCATTGTAAAGTAATACCATAGTAATGATGGTAACAGAGATGTAAAAAGCTGATTTCTCATAACTGATGCTTTTTCAAATCACTATTTCACAAATTCAGCTTCAAAGAATGATAGAATTGGTAACTTGCGCACAGTGTAGCAGCTTGAAATGTTGTATGGCCTTTATTAATAACTTTTGTAAAATTAATACTTTTGGGAAATGTTAACAATGAAGTGTTATGATTTGAAAATGTCCATTTAATTACGTCTTCCATAATAATGATTAAATAATACATATTTGGTTTTATTTTTGGTTCAAAGATGTTCATATTTATCAATTATTCCATGAGCTCACATTGGATATGACATGGTAAATAGTCAATAAGGTTTGTAGTGCTGAGTTGGCTATAACTACACTCATATCCAACAAGCATGAATAGAATAAATTGCTTTATTTAGTTTTGTTAAATCCTGAAGTTTGGATATTTAGAGCCTTTTTTCAACCCTGCAACAGTTGATGCAATGCATTTCCATATAAAGTTAATTGGAATTTGAGCTGATAACCGTTGTTGTGCAAAATCAATTGGAACACTGGAAATGCAATATTTTGGAGCTGAAAATTTAATAATTTCGATTACCCTGACTCTTAATTATCTGGATAATTTATCCCATTGCCCACAAGTCCTGTTAATCTAGATTTGACCCTACTCTGATGCTAATATAGGCACAACGTAATGTTGCAGCACAAGAAAGAAAACAGCATGCTGTTCTAAATTCTGGAAGATACCTATATCCAAGCAACACAGGTATCAAGTGATGACTAGGAACAAAAATAGTGTTGTGTACATTAACCTTTTGGTAGATGTGCAGCATTACACTCTTCACCATGTAAACATTGTGTGAAAGTCATTGCACTAAATAAACATACATATGCATTGAAATGTCATGAAAGAATTGTTTCAATAAAGTAAGACACTTGATGATTCACAACAGACTGAGACTTGTTCTGGGACCAGGCAGTTTATTAAATATGTATCCTACGTACATAAAAGTATTCATCAGATACACTAAACAAGGGTGGCTGGTAATCTGTGATAAATTATAAACAGACAATGAAAAATGAAAACAATCAAAACTGCCTAATGATGTGGGTAGGAGGAAAACTTACAGAAAACTGTAGATCTAACTTCAGAAGCTAGAACAATTTTGCAATTAGAAAATGTGCTTAATGTGTGTTATCTAACCATTGGTTCAGCCCAAGTTTTTGACTTGCATGTCAAACAAATTGCTCAGTCTAGGAAAAGACAAATGTAACCTGCCTGTACTAATTTCAGACCTCTTCATTTTTGATGTCCAGATTCATATTAATGAGATTAATATTGATGTTAAGTTACAGAACATGTATTCTTGGTTTTTACTCCATTCACTATTTGTGAGGAGTGCAACCTCCTGATTGTGGAAATTGTGTTTTTAAAAATGATATGTAAATCAAATAGGATTTCTAAAACAGGATGCAATATTTCAAAGGCATAACAGGGTGCTTCAAACTCTTATAAGTGAAAAGAGAAAAGTAAGTACGTTACATTTTAGGTCATTAATGTAATTGATAAATAGTTAAAACCCAGAGCTTCTAACTGTACAACAAAGAACATACTGTTCCACAAAACTTACAACACTTCAATTATGAATTTCCAGTAGTTTACCCTTTTACCTTGCTGTAAGCTACAATTAGTGGCTAACTGCTATTGAATGTTTTTGAGTGAGGTCACACAAGTTCGTTGCTCTGCTTTTTGGCCCTTATTAATAAAATCCATGTTTCTTTTCTTTGTTTACTACTAAAAGGAACAGTTGTAGTGATCTGCAAAAATCTTGTAGTTATTTTTTTTCTGTTAAAATTAGCCACGCTTCTTGCTCTCTTGATCTTGTAATTGTTTCACCACACATCCCTTGAAAGATGTCAGCCGCACATCTATCTCACCTTGCTCAAGCTTGAGGCAAAAACAATAAAATTGTTTTTTAATGGCTATGACAAAACCTTTGAACAATAAAAAAAAAAAAGAAGCAGAAGAAGAGCTTTACAGTGATGTAATATCAATTCCACAATTTCTACAGAAACGGCTATACTGTATTCGGTCACAAATCGACTAAAACCAAGAAATCTGCAGACTTTGACCAGGACCAGTGCTCCCCAAAAAATTTAAGCTCAGCTTATCAAGAAATGGTGACCAGATCACACCAAGCCAAATCTGATATAAATAAATTTATATTATAAGCTGAATTATGCACACATTTGGATCTACTGGAGTACAGACGTTGAGATGTCAAAATTAACAGCATTTATAGGTAACAGAAGACGTCTACATGTGGTGAAAACATTGGTGATATCGGGTACGTTGTACCTCGTGTGCCACTTTTTTGTTCTTACCACATATTGCGATCATCTGCGATCTGTTATGGAATAGCTGCACAGAAAAATTTTCTTTAGCTGCTCTTTGAAAGCTCTAAAAGATAGCGCTGCTCTAATTTTGTCCGAAATTGTGTTTCATAATTTGGTACAATGTACTTGGGCCCCCACGATCCTAAGATATTCCAGGCAAAATTCAATACAATGACATTCAGGCATAAATCCATGTGAAGTAGCCTTACATCTCATTAACACTGGTACTTAATAACAGGATTACATAACTGAAAATATTAAACAAATATACTCGCCTCATCCCAGGCATACAGCTCATTGTAGCAGAATTGTGATATACACTTCCGTGTACATTTAGTAAGTTCAAACCCAACAAACCCTTGACAGGTTATAGTTTCACAATCTTTTTCCAATGGCGAATACCTCTTGGCCTGAAAAATATGACAGACGGAGGAGTTCTTGTGACAAACAAGGAATTTTATTATTAACGTAATTAGTTTTATTTTGTTTTCATCAAAACAAGAAAACCTTGGTCTACAAGTTTAGAGTACTTCTAAAATTTACCTCAAATTTACTTTCGAACTAATTTCAACACAGTTTTACTTACTTCCCGAAAATATACTTCCACACTCGAACATAATTCAACTAAACGAAATAGGTGCAACCAAACTCAAGCGTTATTGGGTTTCAAGTAAGTGTTCAAAGAAATTTTGAATTCGTTTCACCTGTTATTCCAACCTCACGAATTTCTTCGCAAATTTAACCAATACTCACTAGCCTCTGTTTTTTCCTGAAAGTGTAATGCTTGTATCGAAAATCTTTTGCATCAGAGAACCTTATTAGCAATGCACTACAAAGTAGCAAAACCAAAACATTCTGAAGCTTTCTAAAAACCATTTTCATGGCTAACGCCTCCTGTGCTTGTTATGGACTGGCGACCATAAATACAGGAATGGCTCCGACCTGTGATTGGATGATAAAAATAGTAAAAGTTAATAAGTTATATCTTAACTCCTTGCTCATGGATATTGTTAACCGCGTGTCTCGAAGCGGAACAATGAAATATCAATGTAAAAACACCGATGAGTCAAACAAGAAATGGCTACTTACATAACGAAGAGAAGGCAGAGTCTATCTTGTTCAGCGAGGTCGTTAAGCGATATTCCGGCGATGAAAAAGTCATCCGCTGACAAGCTCCGCTGACAAGCTCCGCTGACAAGCTCCGCTGACAAGCTCCGCTGACAAGCTCCGCTGACAAGCTCCGCTGACAAGCTCCGCTGACAAGCTCCGCTGACAAGCTCCGCTGACAAGCTCCGCTGACAAGCTCCGCTGACAAGCTCCGCTGACAAGCTCCGCTGACAAGCTCCGCTGACAAGCTCCGCTGACAAGCTCCGCTGACAAGCTCCGCTGACAAGCTCCGCTGACAAGCTCCGCTGACAAGCTCCGCTGACAAGCTCCGCTGACAAGCTCCGCTGACAAGCTCCGCTGACAAGCTCCGCTGACAAGCTCCGCTGACAAGCTCCGCTGACAAGCTCCGCTGACAAGCTCCGCTGACAAAACTCATTTAGTCAGTTTAGGCGGACGACCAGAGACTAGAGCCATGCGTGTATTTAACCTCAGACAGGAATGGCTCCAACTCATGCGTATATTAATTTTTTTCGTTCTGGCTCGATAATTTATTCACTGAGATGAAAACTGAAGAGCGATTCATTAAGTTCTTCTTATGTTGAAGTCTATAGTGCTTGCAAATGAAGCCCTCTTTCATTACTACAAGGCCATGTAGGTTCTTAGTTTTAAAAATAATGCAGCAATTGCGTGTCACGTTTGGAAAATCACGCAATGTTGCGTGACGCTGCGACCGATGTTTTTAATTTACAGTATGCTCTGCCAGAGAAATATGGCTTGGCCGCAATCGAGGGAGTTTTTTTCGTGGAAAACTGATTTTTTAGGTTATTGTTCACATGAAGGACAAATCTATTCATCGGGCTCTTCATCTGTTTTTGCAGTCAAACCAGTGGCAGTAGCTCTCGCACTGAATTGTGTCGAAGTACCTTGACTGTTTTCAGTGATGGAACAAGAAAGAGTACAATGATTTTATAAAACTTGTTCTAAAATTAATGAAGGCTGTTCATCACATGACGCTGTATTGGAACGAGTAAATCTCGTTTACTATTGTATCACACTACTGTTTTAGACAAGGTATTTATACCACTTTAATTTAAGAAAGAATAAGTAGAACATAAACCACATTTTCTGTGAAGTACACGAGCCATCCTAACCTAATTTGCCAACTGCTTTCCAGGAATCATCTGTAAAAAACGTAGGTCCAGCCAAGCCTATATGGTCATTGACCCCCGCAATAGCAGCCAACAATAGCTTATAAATATAGGCGTTCAGTCGTAACTTGTAAAACTCCCTGAAGAAGTTTTACAGTTGCTGTTCGCACAGCGCTGCTTACTAGTTTAGTTTTAATTTTTTTCCAATTTTTTTTTAATTGTTTAAAAAATTATTAAAACATTATTGAAAAAAAAATTATTAAACGTTTGAGTCGGAGCTATTCCTGTCAGCGATATTCCTTAACCTCTGCTTTTGTGGTCATTTAACGCTTAGTAACGATTTTTTCGAATGCCTTCGAATGTTACATGGAATATTAACAGGTGATCGCACTGTTTTTCGGTGCTAACTTGATGTTTCTCTCATAGTGTACTACGATAAATATCATACAATCATTTCACAATGGCGCGTGAAAAAAGAAAGCTTTACCTTGCAGAAATGTCTTAAAAGAAGTGATCGGTGCATCAAGAAAACTTAGAGGAAAAATTGTTTTTCTTTAAAGAGAGAGCATTTTACCGTTTGAATCAGCTAATTATTTCCAGTAGATCCGAAGATTTAATTTTTCAGTTCCAACCGTGGCACCGCAACAGATGATAGTCATCTCAAAATAATTTCACAGTGGCGTCTCCGGCACTTAATTGAAAAAAAAAAGACTTTTTCCATGCAGAAATATCTGAATAGATTTGATCTGCACATCGTGAAAACTTAGAAGAAAAATTTCGTTTATTCGAAATTGATCATTTCAACCAGCGACAAATACTCAGAAGAGCCGCTAAATTTGCGAAGCGAGCAGGTCCAGAATACGTTGAGTTCAACAGGGTGACGCCATTCGATGGAATGGAGGAGTGGTGGAATGGCGGAATATTCTACATCGGGATATATGGGATTGCCTTATTGTAAGAAACAAAAGTCTCACAAAAATGAATTGCAATGAAATGAGAAAATGATTTGTAATTAACAAGCAAATCAAAATTTAAAAAAGGCTAGTTTAATCATTATTGGAGCCTCCGGACAAACCGACAGAGGAACAGTGAAGTTCTTGAGCTAGCCCCTACAAATTATTATCACTATTACTTTTGTTATCATCATCATTATTATTTTTATCACTAATATGATTATTTGTTACCATTAAATTAGTAGGTGAGAGTCAATTTTTCAGCTATGCTCAATTGTTGTCTTCACGCGCAGGGACTGGATCACAGGAAGGTTACAAATTGATCTTGACTAGTTCCCAGTGCTTTTGGCCTGATGGTCTTCAACCCAAAACACTCTTTACCTCATGTTATGCGGTGCGGCTCGTTAGTACTTTTGTAAGAGGACAATTTCATTTCGGCGTACACCACATATTTAACAATCCTAAGGCATGTACATTTGCTGACACTTTCGCTATGGTTGTCGGTGCATTTCCGCTCTTTAAATTGGCAAGTTTAGCCGTGAAACAAATTTCCAAACCGATAGCAAACAGTCTGAAGACCACAGCGAAACAGAGCGATTTCTTTAGGAAATATGTTTGTATCTGGCCTGGGCAAGGTGAGGGATATTGTGATGGCACGGATGTCGACCCTCGTTTGTTATCTCTCAAGGTCCTTGCTCAGCTCAAGCTCAGCTCGTCTTTAGGTTCTTTCACACCGTTCAGTTTTCTTTGGTTCCCTAGCAGTATCCAGTTTAAAAATCTAGTTCCAGAGTTAAGTAAATGGTCGCAAAAACAAAACTTGAGAGTGCAAGCCTCTCGTCAATTTCTTGCTGAATCACAATAAATTTCTGTTGAATTACATTGTATTCCCAAACAGAGCCAAATTGAAATTTGTCGATCATCAGTATTTTGCCATCGCACATGTAACTATCGCCTTTGGAGAGAAAAGTCATGACTTTTTGGCCCGTTCTAGACTCAACCAAGTTAGGAAATTTTTTTCATGTTTGCATTATCTCAAAGCAGTCATTTAGGGTTGAGAGAATTTGAGACAGTTATGCAAACTCAAGTCGCAGGGTTTGCAGATCTTTTCAGAATTGAGAGTGTGAGAAGTATTTCATTGATTATATAAGGTTTGATCCATTGCCAGCACCAACTTACTGGACTGTCTTTTTGATGCCTCAAATCTGAAAAGTTGGGTTAGTTCAAGTCTAGTTTTCTTATGGGGTGGTGGCAAGGTAATGCAGACGCACCGCGTATGATATGAAAGGGAGACGGCCTTAACCATAGCAACATATACGTCCTCTAATTCAGGGAAAAAATTTCCAATCAACTTCTTTTTTCTAGAAACTAAGTAGTATAATAGTTTATGTCGTTAAAAAGAAAGAAAAACAGGAACCAGCAGTGGACAATTATCCACATAAAGCAAAACAAACTTTACAAGGAAATCAACTTCCCAATTGCAATGACAAGATTCAAAAGTTTTGTGCCCTCACCTTGATTTTGAATGTAAGTTTCCAAAAGATAAGCTGAGTATTTTACCCTAGAAACAAACTATCTTGACAATGGCTATGTTTCATCCTATTTCCTCCTTTTTCATACTGTAAGAGGTGGCTGACACTGTAAGAAAAACTATCTGCAAAGGTACCAATCTATTTACACTAATCCTGAGTTAGCTAACAGCCCAGCACAAATAAATACAAAATCCTGATCATAAATTGATACTTCATCCTCAGGCTATCACTGGCTGGAGACAAAAGTCAAAATGAAGTTAATGGGACTTGCTGGTCCAGAAAAAGTACCACTGCTGAGTGAACAAAAAGCAGTAGATGTTGGTGCTGAGCTCTTGGGTGAATCACTGGTATTTGGTGTGGCAGCAGCTTTGCTCTTTCTAGAATATAGACGAGGGCAGAAGAAAGAAGAAGCTAAAGAGCAGAAACAAAACGAAAAGTTATTTGAACTTCATAGTCAGGTCAAAGAGCTTGAGCTTTTGGTAGAGACTAATGCAGCTCAAGTGCGTGAGTTAACAAGACTTGTCCATAGCAAAGACAGTTTACTAAAATAAAAAATATGACCTTGTAATTGATTGAATTCTCCTCTGCATTTTAGTTAAAATTTCATTTATTAATAAGTATCTTGCCACTTCTGTGTAAAATTTTGTTGTTGAGATGCAAATTTGTGCTTATGTTGATGTGTATGATTTTATTTCTCACCAAAGGATTTGATTCTTTTTCAATTGTTGGAAAAAGAATACCCTAAACAGCCCAGAAATTTTAGTTTACTTGTATTTGTGAATTGGCGATATTAATTTTTACCCCAGATTAGATAATATCCAAAATGGCTTCCCCAGAAATCTTTTAGAAACAATTTGAGGTATACTCTGTGTATCCTTGATGTGAAAAGGGTTACAGGGTGAAAATCTTTGTGTTCCTAACTTCCTTGCCTCCAAGTAATAAACTAATCAGTATTTCTAACATTTATAGATAACATGAGATTCAACAGCTATCATTTATTTGCCTTCAAAGTTTGAATGTTATTTTATGAACTGTTTTCTATGGGAAGTCAGTAGTGGCATTCATACTGAACAATTTTTATAGGAAATATTGAAAAGACAATCTATTATGGAGACTTTCTTTTTAGCTACAGGTTTGGTTCTACATATAAACTGTGTAGTTTACTTATAAATATTTTGGGGAGTGTTTCAATCAAAATTGTTGTAGCTCAACTTTTTTGCAAGGTGTTGAGACAGAAGATGTTTTTCCTCTCTTTTGTAAGATTTTGATGGACATGGAGTTGAATGCACCTTCTACCCTTCTCCACCACCCTCATGGCCAGATTTGCCTCTCAACTTTCCTCCACTCATTCTCTGGAAATCTGTGACTTTGAGGTAGTGATTTTGAGTCATATTCAACCTTTTCCCCAAAAATAATTTTCTATGTGATTGCTTCATCTAAGTTCCACCCTCCTACTCAGAGTCACTTAAATGGGTGGAAAGAAATCCATTAATAGATAATGATATTACAATGATTTAATAGTTATAACTACAATTAAAATAGTAGAAGTAGTAGTAATAATAATAATAATAATAATAATAATGATAATAATAATCATGATAATAATAATCACAATAATGATAACAATATATGAAATAATGACAAAAATTGTGATAATAACGATAAATTGCAGAACCATAATTATTGCAGAACCATAATTATTCAATTGATAACACACAATTGATTCTCCTAATTTAAGGATGAAAAAGGTGCCTAACTCTGCTGGCTACTGTTTACTGTAACACACTCTTGACTCATGAGAGTGAGCTACTGAGTCTCCTAACCTACTCCTGCCAAGCACAGCAATTTCTTAATTGTTTTTATAAATTTAACATCTTTCTATGTAGAATTTTATTTATTTGATATAAATAAGAGCGAGAAAATATACTCATTGAGTACTGAAAAACCATGGTGGACTTATTACAGTGCATTTGCTGTGGCTATAGTGTTGCGTGACTTCGGTCACGTTAATCAAAGTTGTTGATTTTCAGGAGATGACCGACAGTGTGCGACTGTGATAATGACCCGGGAAACATTACTTTTCGTTTTCTTTTAACAGTTATCGTGGATTCGTTTTCTCGATCTCAACTTTACGAAAAAGCTTAGGTTGCGCTCTAAGTTACAATGACGATTACGTCATTATTCAATTTCCGTAAAAGACTGGGGCCAGAAATCTAAGTAAATTCAGTACTCCATGACCGAAACAAAGGTTTCGTGCCGCACTCTTCCTCATTGAGTAACAATGTGTTGATTATTTGTGTATTTTATGGAGAAGAGTTTAATTTCCGTGGAAGTATGTAGACTGATTGAGGAGGAACTTGGCATTGACCGATCGCGCATTCGACCATGTTTTGACCAAAGTAGAAGCCGTGTCAGCTGTCTAGTAAGTGAGACTACTCGTCTTATCTTAACGTACCATGAAATCACATTTCTTGCGATTTCTCCTCTGGAAGATTTTTGATATCATGTGGTTATAATTTTTTTTTTGGGGGGGATTCTGGAAGCTTAGGTAAAGCTATAAAATGCGATGCAACACACGTGTAGGATTAATGCAAGCTTATTTAAGCTTTCATTAGAGTTATGGTGTGCTTGGTTTTTTTATTCTCACAAGCTGAAACGATGTCGAACACGATGTTTCATTTTCTGATGGAAATCGTTAATTTCTTCATCACCTCCTATATGCAAGATCCAATCTAAGTTGTGCTTTATGTTTAAAAGACACGATAGGTATTTCCTGAAAAGTTGGATTCGGTGAAACGTCAAAGTCGTCGATGGTTTCTGTAGCAAAGAACAGTATGACTTTTATTCTGGTCAGCGCACATCTTTGTTTCCCATAAGCTAAACTGTTTCTTCTGAAGTGTAAAATATTAGTGTATCATAACCTGCTGCGAGACAAATATGACAGCTCTACTGACTGTGAACTCTTGTAAACGCTGCACAGATTCTCAAGAGAATCGGCCGACACAATTTACATGGTGGGCTCACTCACCTGTTCAAGCTGTAGACTAAACAATCGATGAATGATGATTATGTGATATTTAAAGCTACCAAGGCTATGCAATGGTATCATTCACAATTCATGAAAGTGACTTTGCTCGTGGAAGTATACACCCTCTTATCTCCTCTGGCTATATACCTACCATCCACAGAGTGCCTCATTCAGTCCAGGGCTCATGTATGTACTTATTGACTTACTGGTATTTGAAGGGCAAAATAATTGGCTTTAAAGCCATGATGTTTGGACAGATGGCAGTGAGGTGTATGCATCCTGACTGATAGCCAAGTATTTTTCTTTCCAGCTAGAATAAATATAAATAAATATAAATAAATATAAATTTTTTCATCACCCAAACTGCAGTGTTATACAAGGATTTCAAGCCCTGAGAAAAGCTGTAACAACACTTGTGAAAAAATATGTAGTTTTCCATGTGTGTTTGATATTCCCAATCAGCTGCTGACACATCACTCTTCTTTCACATCACTCTGTCTTGCTGATGAATGAAAGGTAAAGCCTTCACCATTCTCAATCCAAGGTCGTTTGTCAAATTTTTTTCTGATTATGGCTGCTAAAACACTGAAAAATTTGTATTGCTTTGAGACAGTGATGTTCAAAATTTTCTTGAAGGGGAAGAAAGCCAAAATACAAAAGGAAAAACCCTAAGTTGCATTCTTAATGGCTTTGGTAATGGCATTTCTGGCAAGAACAAAAACTGACAATTTAAAGAATTGCCACAGTGTGATTTTGGTGGTGTTCCTGAAAATATTTCTTCTGATGGCAAGGAAAAACTCAACAACTGAGGAAGTTGAAAATTGAAAGTTATGCTCGTTGTTTGTTTATGTAAAGATTCAACATGTTTTTTATCCTGAGCCTTGTAGCCAATGCACTTTACTACTTTTTTGCTGGGATGGATCCAATTTCTTTCATTCATTGTTAAAGTTAGACTTTTTTGCAGGGATGGATCCTATCTTTTTCATTCATTAATACAGCTGACTTTTCTTGTCTGTAAAGGGTGTTTATCACTTATAAGCCCATAAGTGGAACACTCCAAAAGAAATTCCTTATCTACACATGCCCATGTATTATTCACTTTATAACATGACCACTTCTTGTAGATCTTAAAGATTTGTTTAATTATTTGTCAAACTTAAATACAATTTAGGATGCAGTTAAGTGTATAAGAAAAGTGTAAGTCCACATTCAGAATCCATGCTGTCAGAAAATGCATCAGAGCTGTGAGAATTGAGGGCCGGGTGGCTTTCTGTACCTCAACCTTTCCAGCCTTCACGGTTTTATATATGATTGCTTGAGCAGGAAGGTATTTTTTTTTTACTCACAATGATAACTCCAACCTAATTTAGCTATATTTTAATGCAGACCCTCAGCTTTTAAGCACAATTAAGGATTTAGAATGTTTTTCAGAAATAGAATACTTCCAAACTAAAACAGATGCACCATAGACAAGATTATGATACACATGAAAAGGCTGACCAGACCTAGGGGTCAATTGAAAAGTTCTCAAGACCCATTCTTTTTCAAGGCACAATTTGGGGGCTCTTTTTTGAGGTTATGACATTGTGGAAATTGTAATCAATTAATTGCACCATTTATTGGTTGGATAGAAGATTTAATTAATTCTAGCCAACTTTTATTCAGTTCAGGTTTTTGGAAAGAATTCCTGGAGTATTTTGTACCCTTTGATACATTAAATACTATTGAATTTTTATTATACTCAAAAGAGAAAGCTTAGAACAAAATCCTCTTTTTTGTGGTAAGATCATGTGGTACACATATTAAAATAGAAATTTAATAGAAATCTTTAAGTTAGTTTCATTAATTTCTGTTCTCCAACTTCTTTCTCTCACCAGGTTCACGATGGTTGGCTTCAGAGGTACATAGGTGGGCTCTCATCTTATGAGGAGTCAGGAAAGGTATCACCATGGAGCCCCTATGAACATCAGCTCATTTTACAGCCCTCCCACCCTGAGCCAGCTGCGCCATGGAATCGAATCAGCATTTATGTCATTAAGAAGCCAGTAAGGAGGGAACTGTTAAGAAAAAGGTTAATCTCTTTACTGTGCTATTTTAATTATGGTATTTTTAAGCATTAATCATTAATGGTTTACCTGACAGTGTAGTCATTTCAGAAGTGGATGACAATAGTCATCTTCAAGTAATGAGGTCAACTGGTCGTATGCCACCTTGTGGAGCACTATGCTCTACTGTTAGATTGGTTGAGTTTAAGACCTGTGATTGGAACATTACAGTTTATTACCTCAACTATTAAGAGGTGCAATATTTCAAATTAATTTATACCACATTGGTGAATAGTGCTTTTTGCCTGCTTATTGAAGAGTTTGGAAGTGATTGGCAAGTACCATTAACCTCTGAGCAGCTGAAAAGACAAATGGCATGTCAACAATTTAATTTTTGACAATTTTTTAGTCAACTGACAGGAATACACTTTTTTTTTTGGTTTCTGTGTGGTATGTATTAAAGCAATTATTCACCTCAGTGGTGGATAGTGACCTAGTGGTTTTGCAGGTAGGTAAATAATCATCACTATTCACCTCCACTTCAGTGAATAATTGTTTATTACATGAGGTATGTTTAAAGTCATATAATTTTAAATTTTGATCACCATTCATGAGTGGATTGCATGTATCAATCTGGCTCTCAATTTTCTCTTTAATTTTTGTTGTATCATTTGAATAAGTCAAACTTCCCTGATTGCCTGACCTGCAGAGGGATACCTAATACATACAAGGACTTGATATTGTAAACTGCTGTCTTTCTTTCACTCACAAGATCAAAACTTCAATTGTCTGCACTGTCTTTATACATTTCTCTTCATTTTTATTTCAGGAGTTTGGTGCTAAATCAAACAATATCCCTCAATATATATTTTGCTGTATTTTGATCCTTCTGCTGCCTGGAATTGTATTTATTTAATGATTTGAGGAAAAACTCCACTCTGGTCCCTCTTTTGAATTACTTGGTTGTATTCCCCTTGATTATTAAACTTTGTAGCAGTTTTTGGAGGGGGATTAAAAACAGAAAGGAGGGGGCTGAGGGCCTACAGCAGAATCACACACATTTTAAATATGTGGCAACACAATAATTATTAATCTACTGCCTTCTGATTAAGCTTCGAAACTTCACAAAATTTCAATCTTTTGAACAAATCTCAGACTTCTGAGCCTTCTATGCAATTGACATAGATGTTTTGAAAAATTTAACAGTTATTTCCCACAGTAAATTTGAATATGGAATGTTACTTGAGATGATTGATAGCACTCTTAACCATTATGGTTTTTCAGCTTTCCTCAAGCTCTTGGAAGTGGAGTGGATAATGAAGGGAAATGTACTGTGTTGTCTTATGCTGAGCTGGTGCAGTGTGTGGGTGTACATAACTTGCGATACAGTTGGGAGAGTTCCTTGGATAGTTACCCTCTAGCTGCCCAGTGTGTTCAGCCCACTCAGGCAAAAAAGGAATCGGACAAGGTATTATGCCAGAGAAGCATTTCTTTGAGCGATTGTAATCCATATACCTCATTGCAATCCATGTCAATTGTCCCAATTGATGACTATTCACTTCTTTCTGAACTACCTGGAAGGTTTTTCTGTTATGATGTTTCTGACCTCTTAGTAACCATTGTTTTAAAATTCTAAAACTGATTACTTACTGATTACTCCATTATCAAAGTGTCATTGAAATATGAATCTGAACATTCTCCATATGAAATTAAATAGAACCTTTATATTAAAACAGTTTACCAATCTTAGGAGGGTTAAGGGAGACAAACCAGGAAGTGGAGCAAGCAAGAGAAAAAACGTTGATGGACTAAAGAGACTGAATTACTTCACCTTATCTCCACCAATTTCTGCCTTTGCTGCTATTTCGCTTGTCTCTACTGACCAAGCACCCGACTCAGGCCATTTTCCTAGTTGCAGAGTCTGGTATGCACGAGAATAGAAGTTTCTTAGTAAATAGATGGTCATGTGTTCTCTTTCAGAATGTTGTTGATGAAATGCTCCTGCAAGCTTATGGTTTGTGTTCACGAAAACTATTCCCAGATACAGAGAGTGTGGAGCAAAGTAACTTCAGTTCCACCGCTGAACGTGATGCGTTTGATGATTTCAAGGAGGAATCAGAGGGCTCGTCATTATCTCTTACAATGAGACAGAATGTTGTTCCATTTATTTGTGCACTTGAGGGACAGTCTGCTTACTTCCTCATAGAACCATACTTCCAACACAGTCTCCACAACATGGTCACATTTAGTCCATCTGTGCTTTCAGGCTCAAACACGAGGCCCTTGTTTATGATTTACGAACTTCTCCATGCACTTCACTGGTACCACAGCCATGGCATAGCACATGGGGCATTAAACTTGCACGGGATTAAAGTCAATAAAGGGTTGTGGATTTATCTTGAATCACCAGACTTTTTTCATGGTTGTCAGCCAGATCTTGATGCGTCAGAAGTGGATGGGGTTGCGGGCGATAATGTTTCAACAGCTCGACAGTCAGATGTGAGCAGATCGATGATTTTGAATTACACAGCAGATGATTTACCTCGTCTTGTCGAGCTATGGGTACATGGCAAAATTAGCAACTATGACTACCTAATGGCGCTGAACTTCCTCGTGGGTCGTAGACTTGGCGATCCCAATTATCATCCAGTTTTTCCGTGGGTGACAGACTTCTCTGTCCGAGATGGCGGATACCGGGACTTGAAGAAGTCCAAGTTTCGTTTGAACAAAGGAGACAGACAGCTTGATGTGACGTACAAAGCAGCTTTGTTGGACAACAGCCAGGATGGTGCACCACCTCATCATGTGTCGGATGTACTGTCTGACATAACATATCATGTCTACCTCGCACGAAGGACTCCGAAATCGGTTCTTTGTGATCACGTGAGAACTAACTGGGTCCCAAATGAGTATCCACCCAGTATGGAAAGGCTCTACCACTGGACACCTGATGAGTGCATCCCACAGTTCTTTTCTGATGCAAACATCTTTGAATCTGTACATGAGGATCTATCAGATCTGGAGCTGCCATCATGGACGCGTTCTGCAGAGGAGTTCATTTGCTGGCATCGATCTGTTTTAGAGAGCGACACTGTGTCTGCTAATTTGCATCACTGGATTGACCTGACATTCGGGTTCAAGCTTGCTGGCAGAGCGGCAGTGAAAGCTAAGAACGTTTACCTCCATCTGATTGATAAACACCAGACGCTAAGCAATCATGGTGTCGTGCAACTCTTTACAGAGCCCCACCCGGAGAGAGCGCAACCTTGCTTCCCTCACACAAATACCCTTTTTCTTGGGCGAAGAGATCATGAAATCCTGGACGGAAGAATAATACGGAATTTTACACATTCAGACCTTGATATAATGGCAGACAAGTCTTCTGCACTTGAAGAATCTGTTATGTCTGTGGAAAGCTCTACCGAGAGTGATTTTATTCTTGGCCATCAGCCGAGAGTATCGACTGAGGGGAAAGAACACAACAGCAAACTGGTTCTCGCCCAAGTTAAAGAATCCATAAACGAAGATGACGTGCCTAAAGGTGCACAGTTTGAGCCAATACCCGTTCCAACCAACTACAACCCTCTTGAAATGTTGGAGAGATTTGAAGCTCTGGAGAATTTTAAAAACCAGTTTGGTCCTAGAGGTGAAACATCTCTTGGCAACCATGAAATAAAGGTAAGACGTGACAACGAAAAGAGATAACAAAATGTGACCTTGTTTTAGAGATCTAATCTTCAATAAGCGTAGGTATTCCTCCTCGTACCTAGCAATCGAAGGATTACTTGGTACAAGAGAAAGCCGGAATCGAGATTGCATGTTGTTTTATTTCTAATGGTGTGATTTCTGTCACTGATAACAGTCCGATGTGAGCGCTAATTTTTCCAAGCTGGTCCAAGCAGACATGGTAAGTCTTGGGTGTGCGATAGTGGAGATGCTTCTTCCTAGTAAAGTACAACTGGCTACCTGTGGACTCACTGGGAAACTGAGAAAAGAAGCCATCATACAGCTTTGTCAATCAAACGACAAACTCTTGCCAAGGTTTGTGAAGTCATAAATGCATTGAACCTTTTAAATTGTGGTTGTTTTTTGACAAAATCATATACGGTGAACGTACAGCCTTTTAACAGAGTGCATTGCCGATCTACCTTTAACTTTGCACCAGATCAGACCTAGAATGTTAGGTTACCGTCTCATTTTTGAGCTTAGATTGCAATGGAGAGAATGATGTCACGTAAATTTCATTCTACTTTCCTAGCAGGGATTTTGCGTGACGCACGTCAGCGTCGAGGTCTGCTTAGAGAGAGAGTTCATTCTCTGTTGTGTGATGCAGCCTCTATTGTTTTTTTTTGTTTTTGTTTTTGTTTTTTTTCAGGTATGCTCGGGCTGCTGTCCATGCCCTTCTCACAGAGGGAGATAAAGATTCCCATGATGCTTTGCTGCCTCGTCTCACAGCGGATCTATTGCTTCAGCCCCACCTTGGCTTGTTTCCGTTTCCCTCATATTTCAGTGCACTACACGATTTCTTGGCCGCATTCTATCACACAGGTAGAAAAATAGAACCAAGCACCTACAAATCCAAGTTACAGGATAGTTTAGTATTTTTGAGAGGGGAGGCTGGATATACTGTCGAACAAGTTGACATAGCAGCGTCTTTTCTTCCCGATTTGCTGTCCATTGTGGATGACGAAGGTATTAAACTGCTTCTGTACCACTTGGAGCCATTATTCACCTGTCTAGAGACTCGGCTTCATGCTTGTACTCAGCTCTTTGACATGTTGGCACAAGCTCTTGGGCCAAAGAACTCAATCAAATCATTCCTGAAGTGCCTGGTGAGCCTTTTTGATTCCCACGCTTTAGATGTTTACGAAGTTATTGCAAAGCAGACGTTTTTGTCGCAGATCATTGTACGATTTGGATTAGACGGGTTTCTCAAACATGTCATCAGCTTTGTTGTGGACGCAGTTTCCTTCAATTCCAAAATGGAGTCGAAGGCTGATAAGATTGATAGGATCTCTGTCCACAGTTCAGAGGATGCAACCTCCGGCATCGTTTGTACAGAAATGGAGTATAGTGCGAAAGGTGTTCCCTTAGACATAGATGATCTGGATCTGCCTGGTGATTTCCTTCGAGAGGGCTCCGAGGATCAAGATGTTCCGATAGGGAGTTTTTCAATGGGTATTGAAGAATTTGAGACTGAGGGAAAGTTCGCAATTACCCACCAAAATCTTGGTCAAGCTCGTGGCGGCGAAGGGAAAGACGAGGTCGAACAAGTAACGTTGTTGCCAAGAGGCATTATTGACGATGAAGTAGATGCAAGATTATTTCAAAGACACATTTCAGATGATGAAGATAACGCTGGAGATGATGAGCCAACAAACAGGGGACATGTGAGCAAGATTGTGTCCATAGAAAGGATCTGTGATTTTAGTGATTGTACAGTTCTTGACAGTGGAGCTATGGAGGTGGAGGACAGGTCTTTGACAACTGCTACTGACGCTGACCAGGTCAGTGCTTGTGGTGATGACAACACTAAAGGCAGAGAGCTTGAGGGTGTGATTGCCAATGCTTGTGAAGCCTCTGAGAGGGAGAAAAATTTTAAACTGCTGGATAGTCCGAAAGTGGATATGAAAAAGAATGTAGACGAAGCACAGGTTCAAAAGAGTGAAGCATCGAACACAAATTGTGTCGAAGTCCCTGAGGAGTTAACAGGGGAGTCTGGTATCGCAACAGGAACTGATAATAGAACTGTACCTTATATTACAACACAATTCAGTAGTAGTGACAAAGGAGATAACGTGACGGAGGAAAGGAATGAAGGATGTACTCTTGGAAGTTCTCTAGATGGTGTCACTGATGAGAAGAATAGAGAATTACAAGAAACAGAGAGAACTGATAATGGCAACAAGACTGCAGATGATATTCTTGAGAACCTTTCTTTTCCTGAAGGAGATCCAGCGTCTGAAGAGGAAGATGCAGCGTCTAGCGAAGATGATTCACGAGATAATGAACTAGACCCAGAAGATAACGTTACCAATAAGAGCAAACAATCAACCTATGAAATAAATACATTCTACAACGACACCAACTACCCTTCTAAGCCTGTGCAATATGGGAAAAAGGTCCTGAAACAGCACGATGAATTGACTCCTGGGACTATATCGACTATTGCCGCTGAAAGCATCGTTTGGTTGGCCCCTCGTCTGGGACCCGTACTAACCTCAAAGTACATTGCCAGTCAGCTGCTGACTATGTTACCACATTGCTATATTGGATACGTGGGTACGAACGATGACGACGACGATTTGAAGACAGTGAGCGACAGCAATGCGAAATGGGTACTTTTTTGTTTGAGTAATTTCTGTACACTTTACGGAGAGGCGTTTTTGCTGAATCAATACTTGCCTTACATTAATAAAACGGTGAGTTAAAACGTTAGAAAACCTGTTTTATTAGTGATCTTAAAGTGTGTAACTTATGAAAATTGATTTTTGAACTTTGGGTCTTTTTTCTTCTTCATGCATATGTATATTAAATAGTCCCTTCCAAGGAACTCTCCGGGGACTTCTTAGCGAACCCCTTAAATTTTGAAATAATGTCATTATCAATTTGATGCTGGGGGGGGGGATGTCTAGCAAGTTAGCTGAGTTTCAAGGAACTCTCCGGGAACTCTTTAGCGAACCCCTCAAATTTTGAAATAATGGTACTATCAATTTGATGCTGGAGGGAATGTCTAGCAAGTTAGCTGAGTTTCAAGGAACTCTCCGGGAACTTCTTAGCAAACCCCTCAAATTTTGAAATAATGTCATTATCAATTTGATGCTTGGGGGGTAGGGGGGAATATCTGGCGAGTTAGCTGAAAGCTTTCCCATGAGGCTCTTGGTACATGGGCAACGAGCGTATGATACGCTATCGAACTTGTCATGCATTATGGAATGTTTTCAGTTTATCATAAAACAGTTTTGCCCTTTTTTTTTTCACTTTTATTAGATCAGAGGAGTTCAAACCAAGGTAACCCAAAGAGGTGAAGCTGCATTGGCGGGGGTACTTTCACTTCTCAAGTACTGCATTCCATACTTATCCCGTGACACTCTGGCCTCAAACACTGAATCTCAGTTGATGACCGGCATCTTTCAGCCTGTCATTCGCATCCTGTCATCTTACACCTTGACATTTCCTGGCGGTTTTTCAGCGCGCCAGGCAATCTGTCGTAGCTACATCGATGTTTTAACGGTGGTTTGCTTGAAACTCGAAAGAGAATTTGCCCGAGATTACATGACTGCTCCTCTTCAGCAGTTTTTCTCATGTTTTGAGCTGGAGCGCATGAGGACCATAAAAATGAATGAAAAGAAAGAGGGTTCCTCTCCTTTGACGTATGAGACAAGTTTTAACGATGCCTTGGAATTAGAAAGAGCTCCCGAGGAAAAAGAGGAAAAACACATCTCAGGTTAGTATTTATAGATCGATAACAGACACTAAACCGTCGATCGTTAACTCCGTTAGCGCGCTTTCAGATCGGGTGCCGCAGTTATCCGTGCGGTTAATCAAAATAAAGGTTATCATAACGAGGCGCCAGTAGGAACTGAGAGTAAACACATCAAACCTGTCTCAAGCGCCATCAGTTTTAGTTTTACATCTGGTTGGCTGAAACGGTGGTGCAGTGTTCCCAGACCAATCCCGGAACGAAAAATAACAATAGCGAAGCAATTCTGGGCACTTTCAAACTTCCTACAGTAAAAGGTAACTCGTCACTCTACTTGCGAAATTACTTCATCTCCAAAGTTTAACAGGTAAAATGACAGAGAAATGAAGTTTCCAAACACTCAATATCTGTTTTTTAAAAATCAGAAGAAACTCTTAAATTAAGTTTGCCTGTTTATCCTAGCCGTGCTTGAGAATGTTGACGGTAAACCAACCGAAGGATACCTCTACAACTCGCCTGTTTATGAAGAGTTGTGTCAGACATTCAATCCTGCCATTGCTCACCACGCGTTTGTTCCGCTTTGCGGCATCATGGGAAGCAAATACATGGAGACCTCGCTGCACAATCATGACCTTATATGGAACTTGTGCTGCAGTTACGATGCTCAACTGTCTCACCCTACGTGCGAAGATAATAGGGCGTCCGAGGATGAAGAAGACGAAGAAGAAAATGAAAACCACAGGGTGAATATTGGAACATCTGAGTTGGATTCTGAGACTGTGGACGGATCTCGTGGGGTGGATAACTCACCAGAGGAGCAGTCTCAAGACAAGAAAGAGAGCAAGAAAAGGGAGAAAGTCAAGAAAATGCCTAAGCCCCCAATGTGGTTTATTGGAAAAAGACTTTCAAAGACAAAGGATGTACCTACCAGCCTGTAAGTCACAATTTCTATAATGCATTGAAAACTTTACTCTGTGGCAAGAGTTGCATTGTACTTCCATGTTGTTCATTATTTCATGTCCGATGGCCGGCCGCCACTCTTTATTCAGGGTAGAAACTCGCCAGTAATGTATTTCTCTGATTTGTAATGATAATAGGACTGAGTGGAGTCCAATTCGGTTTGTAATCATACCAGTGATAACAAAATCCGACGACCGTGCATAAACACGTTTCAGTTAATGCCTTTTCCTTGCAGCGATTTGTTTATGACGAGTATAATAACAGACCGAATTGACGACATGAAGTCTTATTACCAATTAATCATAAAAATTACAATTTCTGATGAAAGAAGAATAGCCAAGTTATGAAAGAGGGAAAATTTGCCTTAAGAAACTGACAGAGAAGGCGGAAATTGTTAAAAGTTGCCCTGAAATTGACTGCAATCAAATGAATGTGATTGGTTGATTTAAACTACAAATTTGAGTGTGATTGGCTTATTGAACTGTCCGATAGCAAACTATCCGATAACAACTTGGCAGGTGAATTATTGTAAAATATGAGTTTTTTAACCAGTCACAATCGAGAAAATTGTAATTCTTATGATTACACTGAAAAGACGATAGTAGCCTGTTTTGTGACTGAGAAATTAGTGCAAAATAAGAAGCAATCACAGAAGAGGGTAATGGTGAATTTTACAGTTGTATACCCTGTTGCCTAACCTTTGAACAGTATTAAGATCGCTTGCCACCTCCTTACGATAAAGGAGAGAAACATTTTGAAATCAGCAATAATTTTATTACAACAACGTGACCTTTACCTTGTAAACTGTGCCAACTGAGCACACAGCTTATAAAACAGACAATTTAGAGATTACTTTTTTTATATAATCGCGTGATGTTATGAGGGATTAACGTGGAGGATCAAGAGAAGTGTCGAGAAAGGCAAGATGTTTTTAACTTTAGGCGATAGTTAATCTTACCTCTAGGCCATTTCCACACTAGCTTTCATTTCGCCTTGTAAATGACACGGAATTCTCTTTGGTTCATTAGACCGTCCTCTTCATCGTCGGACCAATATCTACGCGGTAGCTGGCTAACGCAGTGGGAAAATCAACTCAGTAAGTGAACTTTATTTGATAACTTGAAAACGTGAGTATACGTTTACAGTAACGCTAACTATAAATTGTGTTGTTGTAGTTTGCGTGTCTGATCGTTGTCTCTTTTTGTAATTGGATTAAAAAGGTAGTTTCCTAGCATGTGTAGGTGTCGTTGTTGTTTTCCTTTCCTTCCTTCTTTCTTTTTTTTTAGTTTTTTTTTTATTTATTCTTTGCCAAAATGATAGTTTAATTTGGTGACGTAGTACCCTACAAATAACTGAAGCTATGGGATTTAGTCTGTAATTTAAACCTCCTAAGCAGGAGAGTTATCAAGTTCTCTGTACAAGAAAGTAAAAAATTCCTATCTGTTGAGGTGTTTTTGTGTTTCTTGAATACTACTCTCGTTCCTTTAGGTTTGAAAGGAAAAGAAGGAAACAAATTCAATCTTCAACAAGTCAAACTACAAACTTTCACCGGTAAGGATTTTTTTTTTTACATAAATTCTAATTTCTCGAGGTCGGACAAGGACTAATGAAGAATAATTTCACAGTATTGCCTGTAGTTCCCTCATCAATGTTTTAAAAATCAGCGTTATATTGGGCAGAATGTAGGGCTCGAAGAACTGCGTGTTGTTACACACATTCTTCAATTAGCCCTTTAATTTCAAGAACTGTCCAATTTGAAACTTTTCTTCTCGATTTCATTACATTATCCATGGTAGCTACCATGTTATAGCACCATACTCTCTTGATTACTCTACTTAAGAGTGTGTAAAAGAGGGGAGAATTGCTAACTCGATCGTACACATTTAAAAATTATCCTGAAGAATGTCAGGCTGGATTTTCTAGAATATTTCGAGACTTTTCAATCATGTGCTTTTCTCAGAATGTTTGGTTGCTGAATGCTCTTGTCTGGGAAAGCTTTTCACCGTTGGCAGCGGCCCCTGCCAGTGGACAGTTCTAATTTTTCCAGAACAAGATATGTACTAAGACAGCTTCGCTAAACTCCCACTAACCTTTTTAATACCATAAATGGTTACTGGGCAGGTCACAATGGACCCGCCCGTTCAGTCTACGTTCAGGACAGCGAGCATTGTTTCTTGTCGGCCAGTAAAGATAAGACTGTTAAGCTCTGGTCGCTTAGCAACCACGGTGATGGCACCGCCCAATCGGCAAGCTCGTGGACGTATGCTCGGCACACACGGCCTGTGTTCCACGTGAATATGGTGGAGTCCGTACGACAAGGCGTGTCTTGTGATGGCAGCCTTCACGTTAGTCATGATTTTTAATTTACTTTTCTTTTCCGCGCTTGAATAGTTTTGTTAATGTTGTTTAAAAATTAAGTGTATGTTTCTGCGAGTGCGTTGGTTGAATGTTTCGTTCGGTTTAGGGCACATGAATTGATTTGTTTCTGGTATGTTGTTTTTTTCGTATCTTCATTCGTTCGCCTTAGAGCATTTGAGTGCTTTTATCTGCTACTCGGTTGGTCGTTCGTTCTGTGTTTTCGTTGTCGCGTCGGTTGATTAGTTTACTCCTTTTAAGACGCTTACCTCTTGGTTCCCTGGGTCGTTCCCTTCGGTCTCTTGTGTTAGTGTAGCTTCGTTTTCTTTAATTAAACAGACACAAAATGTCACACCTGCAGTTCGAGAGCCTTTTTAGCTGACACTATGGTTCTCTACTTGTCGTTTGAACCATTTCGCCCTTTGTTGGTTATTGATCTTTGAATCCTAACAATTGCATCTGTGGAGCAACTATTTGGTATGTATTTATATATAGTACATTCGGGCTCAGGTGTTTTTTTCTTCTGTTTAAGTTATGGGATGCGGTCTCCGATCGTTGTCTTTGGGTCTACGACTACCCCAGGAACAATCCTATCGTTGCCATAACAACACTTCCGGCTCCCAGCAAGTGTGTAGTGGCCGCCATGGCTGAAGGAACTGCAAGGTAAAGACAACAACGACAAGGGATTGATACGGTATAATCTAACCGACAGAAAAATACTACAATCCTACAAACTCAACTTCTTTACTAAACAACGAGTAATATTCTTAATAAGGAGCGACCCTTAAAGACAGTGCAGTACTTGTCCTTGATAAACTTACTTAAGCCCACTGCATTCTATATCTTAGCTCACCACTGAGCCGAACTCTCAGTTTCTTCTAACGTTTCTTGAAATTAGCGATCTTTCACTGTAGCTCTCTCTCACGGTATAGCTTTCTAAACAGCAACAACAACAACTACTGCCACATAACTGAGTCCTTAAATACATTCACAAAGTGTTCTGGAACATTCCACAAGCTTACAGAAGAACTATTAAGTCGTATTACGTAGTAACTGCGTGACTTGATGAAGTGGTCTAGAAAGTTCTATGGTACGCATGTCAGCATTACTTAGCAGTCTAGAGATTTCTAAAAGCTTATGTGTACAAAAAAAATTACTCATAACAGGATGGCTTCACTTGTCAAGACGAGCGGCTTATTAGGATTTTTGTTGGAGTCCAAGCCAGGTCATTGTGTCATAGTCCTGGAACATAACACAATGAGACAGGTTACTCTCACAATGCTTCTCTGCACCAAATAGTGTTATGTGAAGCAACCAACTGCCAGGGAAATTGGAACTATTTCTGCTGGCTACCTGCGTTACACAACATCCCATCGATGATTAGTAGTGATATTATTAATTAATTAACGCTATGGAAACCGATACCAGTCTGAGTTTGGGCCATCTGTTTCCTTTGGTTTAATTTTTACTTTTCTCTTTACGGTACTATTGGAAAAAGTCGTCAATCAGTTTACCAGCAGAATCCAAAGTTAGCGGTCATAAAAAATAATCAAACAAATCTATGTGTAGAGAATGTGTCTCCTTATGCATCGTAATTATTTGATTCAAATGTCAACAAAGGAAATAGTTAAAATTATATGTTGTTCTCATTGCGGTTTAAGATGTATGGAATATGTTTAGTGTACAGGGCACTTTGTGTACAGAGCCAGTTTATCTCGCTGAAAATCACCGTTAATATTTCGAAAATTTATTCTGGCCTAGTTATTATAGGTTGGCCATATGTTAAGAACTGAATAAATATTTTAAAGGAAACAAACTATTACTCCGGCATAAAGTACACACACGCTGGGGCAATAATGATAAGGCACGCAGAAACAAGGAAGGTTGGGGAGAGAGAAAATTTACCGTGATTGCAAATGACAAACTTAAAAACCTCTGGCTCTATCTTTTTTTCTGTAGAACCTTGACGCAGTTTATTGCAACAACTTATTCCCCAACATGTGGTTTGTTTTGTCAGGTTTCTTGACGTTCGTCAGCATAAATTCGTCACAGAGTGGAAAATAACAACCAGTAGTGTACCAGGTATTCGATCGGCTACTTTCAGTATGGGTGGACACGACCCAGGCATACTGGGTCTACCGTATTCGCACGTGTATAGGCCGCACTTTTCTTCCAAATAAAATTTTGTGCAAAATGGGGGTGCGGCCTGTACACGGTATAACTGAAATCAGTTTCCCTCTTTCATCAAGAGGCAAGGCCGCTAAGCTATATTTGCTCGTGTCCCTAATCACGTACGCAACTTCACGCGATCATTACTGAGGAAATAAAACAAAATGTTAGTGTACTTAGAATACAAATCTAGCAAAAGTTATCCAGGTATCTTTTCTTTTACCTTTTTTTTTAACTTTAAGACCGTTTTGAAGATGTGACTAACCATTGTGTTTGCATTTGCAATGTTTGTTCGATCGATGGCATACTATGTTAGATTATTTATCGTGATGAATTTTGTGATATAAACAAATATATTTTGGTGGTATGCGGCACTCGCCAGGCCTTTTGCTCTTTCGAGAAAACGTGAAATGATTTCTTTTCAAGAAAATATGGTCAGAAGTCGGGGTGCCGCTTATACACGAGTGCGGCCTATACACGTGCGAATACGGTACTTGACGTCGAGGCTTACTGGTAAAATTTCAGAGACAAGAACTTGAAAAACATTTCTTCTTAACTTTTGTTTTTCATTAGGGTTCATGACACAGTTGAAGAGCATTCACGGGCAAGAAATTTATAGTACGATGAAAAAAGGCAAACGAAACAATTCTGACTACTTGAGAAATCTCCGATTTGCTTTCTCACAAGCAAGTTGTCTTTGAAATTATCACCATAAGCCGTGACTTGATGTGTTCGACCTAGTTTTGCTAGGTCAGCTCTCATTTTCGTTCAACAGAGTGTTGTTTCCCCTTTCTCTACACATGCATGAAAATATTTCAAATTTCATTTGATCGTGATATGAAAGAATTACTTTTAGAAAATGAGTGCTGTTCGAATATAACCCGGGATGTGATGGCCACTCTCTTTACTACTTTACCGAGCTTTCAGCTGCTAAATTGTCCATTAAAGAAAACACAAAAATGTAATTTAAACCTAACTCTGACGTAGAAGCTAACCGCAAGAAACTGCACCAATTATATGCTAAATACAACCAAACTCTAACATTGAGAGCTTTGGTTTGCGGCACCGAACAACGTACTTTGTACGATACCATTGAGGAATTGAATATCCTTCTACTGGATGGAATTGAGTGATCACTGTTTCCTTAGCCCGAGTCCAAGCATAGCAAAGGTTGACTATTCAGTAGCTCAGTCGTGGTTTACCTTTATTTTCCAAAGTCACCAAGTTTATACTATTTAGGGCCTGTTAGTGTTCCCGCGGATGAATGATGATGATTATTTTCTCTGGTTTGTTGTCTTTAGGTACTGTTCGTGATGTTTGCTGCAGCCCTGATGGGCGGTGGATCGCTTTTGGCTTCTCAACTGGGCTGGCATCTGTGCTGGACATTAGAGGTGGGCTGCTTCGTAGTCAGAGGCGCGCTCACACTGGCGACATCTTTCAGGTACAAATCATTTATATACCATGTGTTGATGTGATGAAATGGTCGTGTTTTATAGAGTTGTATGTCCTGTTTTGTTTGTTTGTTTCATTGAAAAAATATCCTTCGGTATATTGACAGTGTTATTCACAGTCACAAGGACTTTCCTCCCTCATTTCTTTTGCCCCTCGCTACTACAAAAGGATGAATGTATGTTAGTCCCTCCCCAGGTACTCAAAACATCTCCTGGCAATTCTTCATTTTTAGTAATGATGTGGTAAGATAAATGCTCACACCTGGGAATACTTCATTTTCCATGTTTTATGGTATAAAAAAAGAAAATGGGATGGAAAAAAAAATGTTCTCTAAATTTTACCAACGGTTTCGTAGGTCAAAGCCTTTTCGAGCTCGTCTTTTATAACATCATCAGTGGACTCTGGTTTATCTTTGTGGAAGGATGACGGTTTTCGCCTGAAAACACTAAAAGGTAACGCATTTGCCAATGCTCTTAGTAATATGAAGTGTTAGTTGCCTAAGTCCGCTTCCGTCCAGTTCAGTTGTGAACGACACTTTCTCTCAGTGGTGTTAAAACATTGTGAACTTACTTTCTAGTCAATTCGTTACCCTTGTAACGCTCCTCTCCCTCTCGTCTAATTAGGTATTAAAGAGCAGTAAGAGAGAATCAGCTGAGAGGTTGAATTCCCGTGAAGGCCGCCTGATAACAGACACAACCCCTCTAAGACTTATGTGGATCGTTCCCATCTTCCACGAGAACCCAAAAATAACAAATCATGAGCCATGCATTTTTCTTACATGGACATCTCATGCGACGTCTCCTCCGTTCTCCGACAAACAATCCAAGCAAGACATTAACCTGCTTACCTAGCGATGTTACTTTCACCAAAGCGATGGGTAGTGAAGCCGCGAGAGGCTTGGGACGGAGAGTTCCTTTCTCACTCGCGGCCTTACTGCTCATCGCCCAACGCAAACAGAACCGTTAGTGAACACAAAACTGCCAGCCACGCATGTAACATTTTTCGTAGGAGACCAGGTGTTTTTATCAAGTTGAAATTATTTTCCTAGCTTGAACCTCTCCTGGTAGAGCCATTTTTTGGGATTTCTTTGGCTTCGTTTTGCTTCGCTTTAAGATTGGTCTATAAAACGCGTGCCTCTGTTTCAACCAACAAAATGTAATTTAATACTAATCCTGGTCATGGTTACTCGTGTTTTCCCGCGCTTCAAGCAGTTTGCTTGTTTTTACTTTGAGTTCTCATGCGTTCGTGGTGACATCTTTCATGAACACTGTTGTGATTACTTTGCCTTTGGTTTTACATCGCTCAATCAAAAAAAGATAATTTCTTTTCAGAATACGTGATGGAAAGGGGTAGCCTGTGAAAACTTGATATCTTCTTACTCAGCTCAATTTAAGTCGATAGCTTCATGCTTGTTTTCTCTTTTGTTTGTCGGCCTCTCCTTCTTTTTTCGTTTCACTTGTTGTGAAAGGTAGATTCACAACCTCAGTCTTTCTGAAATCATGCAGCTTAAAATGGAATTGATTAACGTTCGTAGAGAATAATTATTACTTTCTATCTGACAGGTCCTAGCGATCCTCTCCCCTCTCTACTAGTGTGGGGAGATCAATTGATTTCAGCCACTGTTGGCGGTAGAATTGGTGTACACAGCTTACAGGAGGATCATTCTGAGGTAACGTTTCTTTTTTACTTTTTCATTATCGCCTGATCTTTTTATTGCTTCTCAGTTTGGTCTAGATCAGCTCAGTCGTAGTCTTCATTTCATGAAGAAGATTGAGAGAGATTGTACTTTGGTTCTGATGCTCTTGTATGTCACCAGAGGAATGTCTTAATTGGTGGCTCAGTATGCCTTGACCATTTGCCTTCATTTCTTTTCACTTACTTCCTTTTTCCAAACCAATGAAATTCTATGCCTTAGTAGTTTCTGTCAGTATAGAATTTAAGGCTGCAAGGCCAACGTTCATTCAAAGTCGCTATTTTGCAACCTAAAAAACAGAAAGGACGCTTGGCTTATTACTATGTGAAACATACGTCATGACCTCGAGACTAAGATTTTGCTGTCGGGCCCTCATCCACTCGGTTATTAAGTACATGATATTTTACTGATATACTAACTTTGTTCTTTGTTACACCTTATTAACCTTAGTTAAAGCCCAATGAGCCAGAATTTCACTCAACTATAACGTTAGCTGGTAGTCACTTATGTGATAATTGCAATCTCGCCCCTAGGACATTCTCGGGCATTTTTCAATGCGTAAAAGGCCTGTGGGCATGAGGTTACGATTATTTTACCGAGCTTGTCTTTATGTCATCGTTTTGTCTTTATGTTCTTATCACAGGACCCTTACATCAGTTATAAGCTGAGCAGCGATGTGTTCCGTGGCAATATCACGTGTCTTGGTTACCTGCCACTCAATAGGCTGCTTCTGATTGGTAACGACACAGGCAACATTGTGCTCTGTTCCTAAAGCAACAATTCTTTTAGAAAAACCCTAAAACCAAATTATACATATTAGATCCTTTTATGAGTAGAATGTAAAACGATGATGCTCGGGAGTAAATGTCGGAATAAAGTATATTTCATTTCAAATTTTCTGTAATCTGTAAATGTTAAGAACTTTTTTGTTGCCACATAATCTGAGTCAATCACAGAAATCAGTCATCAGAAAGGATTGGAGAGCATAGACAGGATTAAATGTATAATTCATGGGACTGTTATATGATACTTACCAAAACCTCTTAGAGTTAATCAGCTGATTTTGTTACATCTGTCAAGTCGTTGCATGTCTAACTGTTACCTTACAGAATTGAATTATTCGTGTTCGTGTAGCAAAAGAAATTATCGTTTTAGGCAAATATATTACGTTTAAGTACTGTCATTTGTGAAATGTCAATTACTATTTTATAGAAATGAATCTCATAGTCAAGGAGAAAAAAAATTATTACAAATTTATCAAAGTGAAGTTATGTAACATTGTAAAAAAGCTTACTATTGGAAAAAATATCAAATCAAAGGGCACCTGTAGCTAACTCGTGGATAAAGTATTAAAGAGATATATACTTGTAAAGTTGCTATCAGTAAACTTAAGTGTTAAAAAAAAGGTAGAAAGTAGAACCATTGCAAGTATAGAAATTGTAGTACTTAAGTATGTGATGAAAACCCTCCCGGGGGGGGTACATGGGTCATTTTTTGCTAAGTATGTGCAGCTGACTTCTCAGAACCTCTGCCGCACTTTAACCTATTTTGTGGCCAATTATAGACCCCATCTTTGTCTGCTTTTAAGCAAGATCGGAATGGAATGGGAGCCGTTTATTAAATATTATACAATAATTAAAATAGTGCGCGCGCTCTGATTGGCAATAAAACCATTTTACACGAGCGTATGTAAACACGGTTTTCATACTGAATCTTCTCGCGAAGTTCTCCCTGCTATTTACTTAGCAGTAACTCAGTTTCTTTAAGTTTGTTTTGAGTACAGTAATGGAAGAAGAAGATTTTCCTTGGAGTTTAATTTTCCCAGTATTCAAGAAACGGCCGAAAAGCCAAATGAACAACAACAACAAGCACGTCGCTTTCCTTCGTTGCAAGAAGAGGCTCTTTCATTAGTTATTTTAACGACCAGTTTCTTCCGAGATAAGCGTAGGAAACCACTCCGCTTCGCGTCGTGGTTTCCAGCTTATCGAGTGTTCTCCCAACTTCCCAAGAGTTTACATCAGGCTATGTAAACACGGAAACCATTTTACATTTCTTCATTTAAATATGGTAACAACTTTTTTACCATGAATCTTCCTGTTATGAATCCTTACTTGCCATAATTTTCTTACGCCTAAAATCTCAAAAATGTGTAACCCCATTCTAGTAACTCTATTGAAAATAGCTGGAAATGCAACGCCATAAAAGTCAATGCAGTCGTGAAAATGAGACCCTATCCAGGGGCACATGCGAAGATTGCAAACAGTCGGTGTGTATATATATATATACATTTTTTTTTTAGATTTTATGAACAAATTGATGTCATTGTTGTAAGAAGAAAGTTTTAAATCGGTCAACCATGGATAAACTATTCCCAAACGCCAGAGCGTCAGGTTTTCTACTTATGATAGTGATCTGTTAGAGCACCATAGAGAGACAGGTGAGGACAGCTTACGAGCCAAGTGCTCAATTACATCGTACTGGCTTGCGCTTGACCTGGTCTCTGGGGCACGAAGCGACCCGGAGCACTGGTACTCTCTTGGATGGATGCCAAACCATCCCTTCTCTTTCTCATCTTGCTGTGTAAATACCGTGTACTTTCGTTCTTCGAAGACAGACGGTTACCTGAAGGTTGGTTACAAAAGAACTGAAAGAAACAAACCTGAAGGAGCTTTTCATGTTATTAAACAATCGCAAATTTGGGGAAGGAAATCCTGAATGCTACATCAGAACTAGATTTCGAATTTGCGTCAATATCTTTCCACCTATGGAAAATTGAAGCAACTCGAAACCTAAAATGCTTCAGTTCTTCCTTCATATGATAGTACATTTTTTTCATATTTTTTATAATCATAGTTGTTAAAAAATTGAAGCCGTAATGATAATTTGAGTTAGAGATTGCGCTTGTCAAAGTGCTAAATAGGAAATGATATAAAAAAAATTATAAAAAGGTGAGAAATGCCAGTCAAGATAATTCACTTCCTGCTCAGTACCAGAGAAAAAATTTAAACGATATGATCTGACCAAGATTTCACAGCGTGTAGGCCAAGGTAAACCAGCCGAGTTTCCATTCGCCTATCGCACGTGATTCAGTCATAATAATCATGCGATTCGTGAGTATAGCGTAATAGCTAACATGATCACTAGATGTCACAGATCGCAGTATTCCACTTTTCCAAGATTGTTTGCATGACATAGTCTAGCAGCATGACATCTTGTGGAGTGCCCTTATAATTTCTAGATACGCGTGAAAGATTTGAGAAGATCTGAAATAATAACAAACAACATCGCTCCACGAACAGCTCCACTTTACATAAGAACGAATATTTCGTGTGCATGGTGAGATTAATTCAACATTTGTGCACGTTTTCTTGATGACTAGGGATTTGTTGACCAGAAATGTCTAGATCACAAATTCCAAGAAATGAACATTACTCGCACTGTTATAGATTGTTATTTCGGAGAGATAAAAATTCCTTTCGAGGTAAGGCTTTCCCAAATATTAAAGCTCCGTTATCGAATACAACCATGGGAAATCTGGCCGGTCCATTAGTATGGGAAAGCCTCTTTGAGACTGGCACACTTGAAATATATTGGGTACATTCAAGGTAGATTCAGTCACGAACTTAACTTAATTGCGTCATAGGTGTTTATCGCCTCTCACGGTTTTGACGTCATACGAACAGACGTCAGTGGTGAAACGAAAGAAGTTGTGGACTAAAGAAACTAATTTTTTTTCAAATTTTTTGTATTTCTAATTCCTTCTTTGTGACCCTATTTGGGTAGGATATCACGGATAAGTAAATACAGCGTTCTCTCATTAAGAAAGTCTCATACCTAAGTCAAGACCGTAACACAACATTTTCGATTTTGAACTGGCAAGCCGAGTAAATTAAAATTTTTCTATTTGTTGTTTACAATCAACATCAAACTTTTTTTTTCTGTCATAACTATTTTTAACTGGAAAAACATTCAGCCAGCTTAAGTTTCCCCGACATATTTACGAGACTCGAATTAATAACACAACTTCTATTCAGCTTTGCAAACGTTAAACTTCCCACGTAGTTGACCCGTGGACACGATCATTGACATTTGGGAGTAAACTTTCCCGTTCCGTGATGCGAAAGTGCCGAAAATATCAAAGATTGCTGTAATAATATTAGTCGCGTGAACAAAAAGTTCCTCTGGGGTAGGGATGGGAGGAGGTAGGTAAGTCCAGCGGCATCATGGGTTTGTAGGAAGCAGATAGGGAAGTTTACTGGAGGAGAGAGGACGTGATCGGCGCATAGCAATTTTTTAAAATTTTCTTATAATAGGTTGTATACCGAGGTTGTGTTTCCTTTTTCCGCCGAATGAATTGTTGAGCTGATACAGTGTACGAGTGGTAAAAGCCATTTTCGTCAGAGTAGTGGAAAGTGTTGACCTTGTGGTCAACTCCTTTGATATCCGTTTGGCTGTGCAAAGGAAAAGAAAAACACAAGCTGCGAGACATCTAGGTGATTAATTGTCTGATTTTATACGTACGCGTTTCGCAGAATCCTCCCCATTTCTTGTTCGAATTTTGGCAAAGGTGAGTTTTGTGCTTAACATGTGATATGTTAGTGAAGTGATTAGAAGAAAGGGAGTAGCAAGAATTGTCATCATTGTACGTTTCTCGATCTAAAAATCAAATCGTGAAGTGAAGCGCACTTCCTGATATGTGGGTATCTAGAACCAGCTGCCAAAAGTCAGAATCCAAAGGGTTTGTTCAGGAAACAGATGCCCGCTAAATGGGTTGGAGTGAGTGGAAATATCTTTTGGTTCACTACTCATTCTTGGAGTCGTCTACGCTAACTTGTACAGAGTACTTCGATTACGTTCACTACACATACGTAAACGTCGAAATATGAGAATAATTCAAAATGTCTTTTTTTTTCGAGCTTGGAGAAATCCAGGAAAACCAAAATTTGGGCCCCATTTCGGTTTTCGACACACTAAACTTTATTTGAAGCTTCCATCTTGAAGGAGGCCCAATATTTTGTAAATTGTTTTCGGTGCGAACTAAAACTCTCTTTTGGTAGATATTGAACTCAGTAAATGTTAAGTTGCCCAACCTTTTGAGATATTTTGATGTCTGCACAATATTTTCACGTATCCGTACGTGTTATTCCGAGAATGAGCCTTTGGCGATTGTATATAATTGCGAAAGAGATGGCAGGCTTGTGAAAATTTTAGTGTCACAGTCTCAAGGTAACTCGCAAGTAAGTTGTGTGCAACTGTCGTGTTTTAGGAGAACAATTTACTTGCTTTTTGTGAGTAGGTTGAAGGAAATCCCGTCTATTTTAAGCCTTGACTGCCTTTTCTCTTGAATGGTTTTTAGAGGCCTAGATTTAAACATTTTTGGAACCATTCTATTTTATTTGTCAGTTGATTGTCTTGGGAGCTGTGTTGAAAGCCTAGGAAATTGACTACACCTTTATTCCATTACCATTATGATTTCTATCACGAAAGTTTAAATTTCAGCAGTGTAGATGAGACTGTAGTGTCAGTATTATCATTAAATCCCTTGTCAAGAGTGCTTTTACATCTTGTGTTTTACATGTGACATTCAGGATCAATTTGCTGAATAAATAGCTTTCACGTGCAATAAGCCAGTCAGTTGTAAATTATGTCCCATTTTTTTCCTTTTTAATTCTTCACTAAGTAAAGTTTGTCTTGTGCAATGAAGGGAATTTTAAACCAGGTGATGTGTTTGATTATTATTTAATTGAAATGTACTGGAAAAAAGTAAATTAGTTTGTTTTCAAAGTTTTCTGTTATTCAATTTAAATCCAGACCATGTGTGAGTATAAATTTTCAGATATGGAAAAGCAAATTTAAGTTTAGAAACTCAATTGAATTTTTCTCATTTTATGCCAGTCTTTCAGGAAATAATTCTCTCTTTCAAATTCTCAAGTTGCTATTTGATTTAAATGTATTTGTAATGGACTAAATGAAAGGAAGAGCTACAGAAGTGAATAGTAGCTGCCATGAGTTACAGCATACAAAAAATCAGCAATGTCCTGACATTTCTCTTCACTAGATCAATGTGAGATCAATATTACATTGTGTTTTGATCTTCAATATCAGCTTTGTGGCATGTCACAAAGTAGGGGGTTTGATTCCTTTTGAGATAGTTTAATTTAAAGAAAGGGGGTAAGTTTCTAAAGAATTTATGGTGCCATGTCTATGGGGGGAATACCAAGATAATTTTGTTTTATCAACTGAGTTGATAACGTAAATTGGCCACCATAAGGAGTTTTTAAAGCTGATGTTTTGAGGTTTAGCCCTTGATTAGAGCAAATCAAGAGGCTGCTAAGAGACGCATTTATAAGACTGCATTTTGTAGGAGAATCTTGTGGTCAAAAAACACCTTAAGAAATACATTTTAAGAAATCTGTGTTTTTTAGAATATTTGCTAAGCAACTCACTAATCAATTTGGACTAATTTTTTTGAGAGCAGAAGTGCAAATCAGTGTTTAGTGTGAATTACAGCTGTAGCATGCTCTTGTTTTGAAAAATATCTTTAAAAAATTAAGGCATGACTGCACAGTTAGATTTCTTTATCCAGAATACCTGTGATTCTCTTCAATGAATAGAAATTTACATCGACCAAAGTAAAGTGATTTATTTATTGATAATCAACCTTGAGTAAGCTT